CTTGTCTTATTAATTCAGTCCTTCTGACTGCAACAACTAAAATGACTGTGAAAGACACAACAAACTGACTGTCCCGATCATAATCCAGGCATATTTCAACTGGCTGTATTAAGCCCAATGCTATAGTAAGGCATTATCCACAACCTGTGGCAATGAGACACACTTTCAGAAGTTATATATTTAAAATAATGCCTTACAAATTCAGATGTCAAATTTGACTGAAATGCCGATCTCTAACACCTAGTGTGCTTAAAGTCCACCACACTTATAAAATACACTCCTGCCACGTTTTTCACTCACAATCGTAGTGTCTAGTGTATTCATAATGTATTCGTGACACTATAGTGTTTTTTCACATAAATAGTTCGCGAAGAAACGATACAAGTTCATGTAGAACACTATGCAAATTGAATTGATTTCAGTGCAGAATCTTACAGTAACTGGTAGCCAATCAAGTAGGTCAATGATTTGATCATAAGCCAATAACAAAAATCCCAAAACAAAACATAGCATATTACTCTGTGCACATGATAAAAATGTAGTCATTTCTAATGTAGCTTTAGCATAATATTTATTGACAACTTGGCATATTTTACCTAAATTATATAGCTTTTTTAATCTATGAAAACACAAAGATCATGTTGAAATGGGCTGATACTCACCATTAGAAACAGATTGCACCATCGCTGCTAAAAACATGACTGAAGTTTGTTTGCTTGTTTGTTTGTCTGTTTGTTTTTAAATATAGTCACCAGCAAACAGGACATTCACATTGTCCTGTTGTTTGCTGGGTAAAATAAATAAGTATATTGGGCAGCTTTTTGGCAGTATGGTACTGCTGCATATGTGCGTCCACGTATATATACATGTATTGCCTTTGTAATTACATTATGGTTGACATGGCGTTTCCGCAGTTTGCCTATCCTGCCCATATATGCTCTTATATAAACCTGTTCCGCCATAGGGATTACATTATAATGGAATGGAATACATTGGTGGACATGTGGTATTCCCACATAGTCTGCTCAAAGACCAGACTGTATGAATGTTGATTGTACTGTGTGAATGTCTGAGATTGCCATGGAGAACATTCAGCATTGGCCAGGCTGCTCAGAGTTTCAACAACTTGAAGTTAAGTTTCTCGAACTTGCAGTAATTAATGGACAATATATGTTGTGCAGCCTTAACCGAAATCTCTCTTAGAGCAGAGACTGAGCTGCACTCTTGCTAAACAGGACAGAAAGGCTTGTTGTGGCTGCGGGCAAAACCTGAGGGGAACAGAGTACGGTTTGAACAGGTTTGCGTCTAAATGAGACTTGACGTTCTCGCAGTCCTGCTCCAAATGTGGCCTTTTCATTCACTCATGCACACACATTTGCACTCACATTTATTTCCCCACATTCTCAGTCATCAGCTAAAAATGTGTTCATGGACCAAGGGGGATGTTTCTTAAATGCTTTTAATTGCATCAGATCCATCTGCTTGCTGTGGGCTTTGACATTGTGCCTCATGAAGTAATTAAATGAAAGCTCCTGAGAAATTAATTAAATCAGTGATATATTAACGACACTCTGGGCTGCTTTTCTGGACGTAGGAGCATTAAGAAAACAGAACAAATGGAGCTTCTCTGGTCACAGTACTTTTATTTAGGTTTAGACTAAAGTACTAGACTTCTGTTTAGGTTTAGAAATACTGAACCTCATCTCTCCCTACCTGTGTATTGTGCGGTCAGTTATCACATCAAACTGACTGAACTAGTTGGCATAAAAGTGGAGCATTTATGTTGCTTTTGTTCTGTCGTGTCCTGTGTTATTTGATGATTCAGAATAATCCTAAAGTTTGCTTTCATGGTCACCAAATAAGTAAACACAGTGCATTTTCAAGCCATCATTGAATAAATGTCAAATTATCTGTCTAACAGTTGCTAGATGTTGAACAGTCCTGCTAACAAGAGCAGCTGGTCAGTATTAGCTTAGCTAGCATAACAGCTCTGCTCACCACAGAACATGTTTGATTCTTACTAAATAAATCACCGACACAAGTTTAGATGACAGTGATTCAAATCTGAGGCAGTGAAGTTGAGCAGCTGTTGTTGAAGGGACAGAAAGGTTCAGTTTAAACCTTTGGATCTGTAGCCTGGTCAGCTGACTTTAGCTTGCTACTAAGCTAACATTTGGACCCAAACAGTACCACACACACTACAGGTCACTGAGACTGATGTCTGAAAGAGCAAAAGTGAAGTGAATGGTGTTGGAGTGACAGAGCTGAAATTGAAGTTCTGTGGTGTGTGGTACTTTAGCATTGTGGCTAAGCTCACGAGTTTTATCAGCAGGCCAAATACGTCACACACCAGAGCGCAGGCTTGGTTCCATCTGATGCTAAATGAACCCCTGTTTATTGAAATTATACATACTCTATGGTGTTTGTAGCTCTTAGCAGTCACTGAGCTACTGGCATGCTTAGTTTCTTTTAAAATTTTTCCTGGCTCAGATTTTCCCCCTTTCTATCAGCGAGCTCCCACACCACCGCCACCACCATCAGTGAGCCCCTCTAAAATATAAACGGGTACAATGTGTTTATTTGGCAGTTTAGCCATGAAATAGAAATGTGACATACTTTTGAAATACTAGCATTATTTTAAAAAAACGTTGTATACCTTATTACTGTTATAGTGCTCAACCCTAGTTATTGTGGTGCAGTTGTTGTAGAGCAGCTCCTGTACTGTACTAACAGTGTGTGGATACTATTCTTCTCTAAAACAGCGTTATAAACGTGATTATGATTTTGTTGCAATAACCAGATCTGTTGTTTGTGCTGCTGTAAAACTGTTTAATTATAATGTTGGTAGTCAGATGTGTATCACTATACTTACATATTTGAGAACATTCATCAAGCTTGCTGTGCCTCAGTTACACCAGGCTCTTATTGGGCTGAGCATTTGTCTTACCTGATTATTTAAAGTGGTCCCTCTTGATTTTTTGGGCTTTTTTTTTTTTTGACTGGCCATGTGGACAGCGGTGCAGTTTGTTGCACTCTGAGGTGAGGTGATGTGGCTGCCTAGCATAAAATTATGATGCATTCAACTAAACCAGCCATAATTTATTCTAGAGATACACTGATATGGAATTTCTGGGCCCAGCACAATAACTGATAAGGAACATATTACTGTCAGCGAGGCCGGTGTCATAAGCTTGATAATTTAAATTATTTTAATGGAATTAATAATTGAAATAATTATTTCACACTTTATATTTTACACTATTTAGCAGACATTCATGCAGCAGTATGTTAGGTAGATATAAAAATTACTAAAAAACAGATATTCAATTGACTACAACTGTAACAATTATCAAAATTGTTACCCACTAATTTTTTTTATACAAAAAAAAAAATAGTCAAACCCCCAAAGGTTGCACACTAGAAGAACTAGAACTCCTCATACGTCACCTTGTGTTTTGAAAGCCTGAAAATACTTCAGTGAAAATTGTCAAAACGGTAATATGTTACCCACCTCAAGTTCATTTGTTTGGCTTTAGTTGACATGCAGAGTAAGCTTAGAGCATCCTCAGTCACTCTTTTTGCCACAGCATATGTGAGACAAGCCTGAACACCTTGATAACATGTTTATCTGATTCGTATAATATAAGAAATGTTCTTTGTATAAATCTATATAAATGAACTTCATATCAAACACTGGACTGCTTCGCTGAGCCGTCAGTCCTAAATAAGATTTGTGTTAGCTTATCTTGTTCACTTGTGATGGAGCATGAACTTGGCTTTGCGTTGAGTAAAACGGCTAAATTAATTATGAAAATGCATAGCTAAGTAAAGATGAAAATATTCATATATTGTACTTGCCTCCACATCATCAATGCTTTCTAGGTCAACATAAATCCTATCACCTGTCTCCATATCTGAAATAGGCTACTTTAACCTGGGTCTGAGTCCTTTAGTCCTTTAATGTCCTGCTCCTTTTGGTGCATTCATTGTAAGAAGGGGCATATAAACTGAAATATGTTGATTTAAAAACTGTTTAACCAGCTAAAATATAGTTTGTGAGGAAAGTTGGTTTTCTGTCAGAGCTCACTACTGTAAGTTACACTGTGTGATTACGACGGCTGTTACAGGGAACCTCTGAACGGCCAGCAGTGGCCTCTGTGGAGTCTAGAAGAAAGGAAGTTCTCACCATGAGTCACTATACATGTTTCAACACATGCTTCAGTGTTTATGCATTAAAATTGGATGCACAATCATTTGTTGGAATTATTACCTGTAATTTTAGTTTTAGACTTGTAATAATAATAATAATTGCCTTTTCCACTTCATGGCAAATAATATATTGGTCACTGATGTATGGCACATCCCTAATGTATTTATTTTAGGGCTTTCTGTATTGTTGCATTTTTGTTGTTTTTGCCTTCTTCGCATAACTTAACTCAAACTATCATCTGCATTGTGTTAAAAATTACATGATGAATGGACTACTACAAATTGTCTAAAATTACCCTAAGTAATTTAATTGTTCCATTACCTTGCATAGTAAATCAGCAGTATTTTTCCTACTCTTGTAAAGTTACCTTATTGGAGGTAACAATAACTGTTTTAATTAAAGGCCTTTGCCTATTATTATTATTATTATTATTATTATTACGCAAATGATACTAAGTGGAAAAACTAACATCAACAATGATGTAATGCCTGAGGATTAAAATTATTCAGGACGATCTTAGACTAGAATGATACTTCAGCAATTGCCCATTAGTTTGTATGCAAGTGTGGTTCAAGTAAATTAGTTTTCAGTTCTGTCACTCAGTACAAGAAAACTTATCAAAATTGCCTGTGGTACTTTATCATACGCAAAACATGCATTAGATAGATTAGGTTGAAACACACTGTCATGTTCCTTCTAAGTGAAGAACTAGTGCATGAGTTTTATGCTCTAGTTGTAGACTTGATTAATGCAGCGCTTTAATTTTCGTGTTGATGTGTTTTTTCCTCAGGGAGATTCAGCTGCTACGAAGACTACAGCATAAAAATGTGATCCAGTTGGTGGATGTGTTGTACAATGAAGAGAAGCAGAAAATATATCCTTTATAGTGTGTATTTCTCCCTCTCTCTCTCCCTCTCCCTCTCTCTTTTTCTTTCCACCCCTCTCCCCATTGACGCAAATGTGATCTCATTGCTGTTTTCTCACAGACACACACACACACACATGCTCTTGGTGACTATTTCTTCAGTCTATATTCACACAGAATCTTGGTCATCCTGTAAGAATGCTTCTAGAATGTTTCATATATAAAATTTATTTCTCCAAGAAAACACATTTCTTTTTAAAATTCATCTTCTATCCCAGCATCTCAGTGAGCTGTTATCACCCAGCTGCCCAAGCATCAGACTGGTTGCTGAGAAAAGCAGTTACCAATTACGCACAAATGTGACAGGTTTATTGCTGCTACTGAGGGGCTGCCAAATTGTTTACTTACTGTCATATTTATTGTGAAATGTGTGAGAGTAGTGTGTTAGAGCATAATGTTACAATTTATTAATACATCGATCAAAAATGAGTGGGATGTTTCCTGATATCTTTGTTAGGCATGAGACTAGTGGCTTAATGAGATCTGTGAAATTCATACTGAATTGGGAAGCAGTTGTAATTGATGGTAGTTGATTACTTAAAGGGGAATTCCATCCCTTTTCAAAGTTTAATTAAATTTAACAACATAAAGTAAAACAAGTCAACAAATGAATTCAGAGTCGTTTGATGTGAAATGCGGCATCCTGGAGAGACTTAAGAGTCAGAGTTGTTCAGTGATGGTGATATGAACCAGATGTCAGAAGTGTTTAATGCATCTAAAAGCTCCCTAACAGAAAGTCATCACATGAAATGGTTACAAATATTCCATGTGATGCCTAAAACAATGTTTTATGAGAGTTTTGGCCTAGAGCATATTTTAAACAAATACATTCATGGTGGAGAGGTACATGCAGGGCCCAAGGAGAACATATTTGTTTGGATTTATCACTAATTTACCTTTGTCAACATTAGATATAAAAACTCAGATGTGTAGGTTCACTGGACATTTTGGATAGTAAATAAAATGGCTAAAATTTTGTTGTAGCCATCATGACACTGGTTCCTATCACACCCTCTGTAAAAGAATCTAACTCAGCAAGCTTCTCTACAATGAACCAACTTGCATCAAACCACTCTCAATGACTTATATCTCAACCACTGAATTACATTTTGAAAAATATGAATCTCCCTTTAAATGTATAGAAAACAAATGTAGAATAATTTATGACTGAGAATAAGTGGGGAGTTATGACAAAGGAACAGTGCTTTTCTTCTAGCTGTATCTGATGTTGAGAGAAACTGAAGGAATAAAGAGAAGCTGGAAAACTTCCCAAATCTTTTATTCGTAGTGTAAGGGAAATTGGATAATGTTGGGGTGCAGATTGCTTGACATGGTAAAAGAAAGGCACACACTGTAGACTGGTTTAAAGAAAGTGACTGTTCTGACTCATTTAGGTCTCCATATTATGACAGCTCTTTATTATGCAGTCAGTTCCCTTAAATAATTTGAGAGTATGTTGTACCAGCAAAGTGAATAGTTGATAGGATGTTCAATCTCGGGCGAGATTAGAACACGGTGTGCACAATGAAGCACTAAGAGCTCGCCTCAGGCAGGCCATAATTAGAATTGCAGAATAGGTAAATGAAGTGGCCATTTATGTAAAGCTTTTTTTAAATGTTATAGTTAAAGGGACTAGGCTATAATTTAGAGGGTCTTTATCTTACATTTGTTTGGAATTTGTTAATTATCCTGCCCAGAGGTTCACTGTAACATTTGCTTATGTTTATGTTCTAACAAACTGTCTGATTCATTTTTACATGGCCGTTTTCTAGCCTGTCTTTGTCTCTTACAGTTACTTTGCCTTATGTAGACTGTCTCTCTTCTGATTGGCTTTCCTGTATTGTACCTCATTTAAAAAGCAGTCTAGACTGAAACACTCCAACTTCAATATGAATTTGCAGGAGTGTGCGGATATGTAACTGTGGAGGTTTATGTGATATCAGATAAACGAAGACACCAGAATGGTTTTGCAGCTCCGTGTCCATATATGGACTAGGAAGTGAACGGTATAATTTTTAACATTTATCCCTTTTTGTTTGTTACTGTGCGTTTACCTACCTACAACGGTTGTTACCCAGAAATAAGTGAAGTAAATACATTGAGATTACAGAGAATCAGGGCTAGAAAATACATCCTCACATGTTCCTTCCGTGTTACTTACAAAAAATCTGTTACTAAGCACAGATCTGACAAAAGGCTCTAAAATTAGTTCTTAACAACTAGGAAATTAGCACATCATTTTGGACCATTTTATTACCAATTTTTTTATTAGAACTACTAGCCTTTTTTTGGTAACAACCTAAAAATTAGCATGTAGTGGTATAACTTGTTACCACAATATTACCATCTTATTATCCACTTTTTACTGATCTGTAAAAAACCGTGCCACCGTAAATCCTATAGCGGTATAACCAAACCCTGCTTTAGGCCTCTTAGGAAGGTCCACACTGCCCCTCGGTTTATTACCCGGCAAGCCTAGCATTAGGAACTGTTACCCCTGCTTATCAGGAAATGTCTTTATACTTTCAGGAAATTCTCACACCTAAAGTTCTTATTGGCTTATTAGCATTATCACGTTTTACATTCATTTTATTCCAGAAATAGAACTGTCAACAGCACTTCTCCACCCACATTAAACTACCCTTAATGGAGTCATTCAGTATATTACTAACAGGCAGACAATAAGTAAAGCTGTCTCAGTGCATTGAGTGATGTCTGCTTATTAAAGTTCACCTGCATGACACTGTCAGTCCTTTTTATTTGCAATGTCAAGTGTCATAGGCCACAGCTATTCAGTTACACAGGTGTTCTTTGAAATGTCATTAGTTTGACTGCAAGTTTTTTTTTTTTTTAATTGTTGTTTTCTTTTTCTGTTCTAATTTTATTCCACATCACAATGGTTTTGATTTTTCCTTGACCAAGTCGACACGTATATGGTAATGGAGTACTGCGTTTGTGGCATGCAGGAAATGTTGGACAGTGTTCCAGAGAAAAGGTTTCCAGTATTTCAAGCTCACGGGTAGGGCGCCTTTCATTGCTCCAGACCATAGAGCTGAACATTGCTTCAGCCAGAAAATCATATGAGCATTCCAGAAGGTTTTAGTTGAAGTGATTTCAAATTTACTGTTAAGATTTGTCATTGTGCTCCAGTGTGTTTTGTTAATTGCTGCCCTTGATTTTATTCATACCACTTGTAGCAGACTGTAGCATATCACTGTTACCTTGGCTTGTGATTGAAAATGTTCATGCTGACCTTCTTGTTGTGTCTCAGGTACTTTTGCCAGCTCTTGGATGGCCTTGAATATTTGCACAGCCAGGGAATCGTTCACAAAGACATTAAACCAGGGAATTTGCTGCTGACCACAGATGGGGCTTTAAAAATCTCAGATTTGGGCGTAGCAGAGGTGAGATGTTTTAAAAATGGTCTTTACCTACTTCTATTAGCAATGGTTTTGGTTGGTTTTATACATGACAAGCAAATGTTTTACATTTTAAAATAATTTTAAAGAATGAAAACATTTTAAATACATTGCAAAGGCGGGGGTGGTGACAAGAGTAAGTCAGAGCAACTTTATCGCTGACTAGATAGCTGAAGTTAAGGGTGAAGGTGAGTCCTCGTCTGTGTTCGGTGTTGTACCAGTTAGCTGTAGTTTTAGCTTACATTTGAAGAGGTAGCCCCCATTACACATCCAACACATAAACCTACAGATTTCCCTCGGATTGTTTGTTTTGAGTAGTAAAAATGTTTTTAAATTAGTTCCTCAGCCTTCAGCCCTGTGCTAATTTTGGCCAAAATATGTTTATTTTTTATTTATTGATTTTTATTTATTTTTCCACTGCAGTTAACTGGATATCTATGCATTAACTCTTTAATGTACCCAGATACCAGAATTAGTCTGAGTACACATCCCTAGTGAACACTGATCTTAGATCAGCCATCTGAAGTGCATAATGTGCAAGTGTACCCAATATTCAGTGACCTTTCAATCAGGGAACCAAATAATCATTGTTAAGGACAAAGTAGCTTAATGGCTGACATTTGAGCAAAGACATGTGATCCACACAGTGTTAATTTGCTGCTAATTGGTGTTCACACTGCCAAAAGTCCTCCAGAGAAAGGAGGTCTTTATTCTGCCACTAGTATGAGTCATTTCCATCTCCCCACCTAAAGCATTTTGCAGTTGCGTCACAGAAAGTGAGACTTTTCTACTTAAGTCATGCTTTTTTTTTGTGGAAGTTTGTGAGATTTTCATGTGAGCTTTCTCCCTTTTTGGCCCTGTACCCCAGGCTCTTCACCCGTTTGCGGAGGACGACACATGCCGCACGAGTCAGGGCTCGCCGGCGTTCCAGCCACCGGAAATCGCCAACGGCCTGGACACCTTTTCAGGGTTTAAAGTGGACATCTGGTCCGCCGGGGTCACACTGTGAGTAGCACAGGAGCACAGAACAGGGGCTGGTTGGTCAGTCTGTGCAGCTAGCTGTTTCTCAGCCTCTGTATTTTGTGTACTCCAGGGCTGTCACCTGTTGATTTGTGTTAGTACTCAAGTAATCTGCTGATTATTTTGACAGTTATTCTTATAAGCAGAGATGTTTTTAAAGGCTTAAAAGTAAAAATGGGTTTATCTGAAAAATAACAAACCGTAAGCCTTTTATAGATTCCAAAATACCTTATTGCAAAAAAGATAAATTATGAAATGAATTACTTAAAATCTCAGTTTCTTAATATAAATGGGGCTGCAAGTAAGGATTACTTTTATAATTGCTTAATCTATTTATTAGTTTTTCGTTTAATAAACTAATATAAAAATAATGTTTCTCCAGTGGGAAAGCAATTTAAATAATGTTTCAAGAAACCTGTTAATTGCTTTAGTTTACACTTTTTTCCCCCAACTTATCACATTTGTTGACTTCTTGATTAAACACACATTAGAATCATTTAAATCTTTTTTTTTTTCCCTTTTTTGTCACATACATTACTGGTTAAACATTTCTGCTTTAAAAACTATGTTTATGACCGGCATGAACAAGCTGCACACTTCTGATTTTATCACTTTATATTTTATAGATTGAAAGTGTTAACTTATACAACAACATAGCAAAAGCATCCTAAAGCTGATTTTATACAATCCCATGCAAAATTTTTATCCTCACCAGAACACCCCTTTAGAACTTCATTCTTTCATTTTTGAACGGCCCCATCAGAGTGGTACCATCTGTGTTCCAACACATACTGTAACGTTACCTTTACTGGTTATGCTGATGTTATCCACTTTGGTTCGTTATTTAAGCACTTACCCACTATCAGTGGAAGCAGAAAACAGGTTGGAAGTCTTTTTAGTTTCATTTCTGCATCATTGTTGTGCTGATGTGAAGCAGTACCTCCACGCTGTATATTGAGCTTATTCAGCCAGCAGCGGTTTAGCCCCATTCACACCGAAATATAAGGAGTGTTTCAGTCTAGATTCCTTTTTGAATGAGGTACAATATAGGGCAGCCAATCAGAACAGAGATCATGTACATGAGTCAGTCTTAAAGGTGCAGAAACAGAAAATAGCCTGTGTAATTGTAAAGGATAAAGAGGTTGCAAAATGGCCTCATTAAAACATCTATTTTTGGATGTATGATATGAGCCCTTTAAAACACCTATGAACATTATATGCACATCGACAGTAAAAAGTCCATGAGAATTTTTTTTTATTTTTTTTATATCAACTAATCGTTGCAGCCATTGCACACTTACATGTAAGTGTGGCCAGTAGGACAGTTTAAAGCATGCATTGTCAGCAACCAGATGTCCTGCTAATCACTGCTGATCAGTTGACAAGGTAGATTTTAACCAAAATTTGAACCATAATTGAGAATGTATGACCGCTCTGGTGCACTCTGAACACAGCTGGCTTACATGCTTTTGATTGAGAGTCAGTCAAGTGTAACCATACCATCCTTGCAATGTGAACATGCTCACCACAGTTGTGGTTTCTTTTTTTTAAGCCTTAAACCAATCCTACGTCGGTATGTGTGTTCTAGGAAGTTTGATTCATGTGTTCCGAGAACAGATAAAATCAGAGAACAAAGACAGTGACCTGCAGATGACCTGTGACGAATACATCCACCACAGCAGAACCAACATAGCACAACTGTGTACTTGACTAGGCCCTTTCTGTCTTTAGAGCAGCTACTCAGCTAGAGTTTATCTGTAACGTTCTAGCTAAACTGTTCTTTCTAATAAAACATGAACAAGAATGCATGTGTATCATCAATGTCATACCTTTAACTTAACATGATCAAAATTCATTCTCTGTGATCAAATTTAGTTTTTGTCTTCGATTATTCATTTTTTTAGGCTCTTACAAAAAACAATGGTTTAGTTACCTTGAATTGCCTTTAATTTGAAGCTCATAGGAGAACGTAAATAAAAATAAACCAGAAAATGGCACCTGACCATCTTGATACAGTGATCTGTAGCACCAAAATGTCTCTCTCTTCTTCCTCACAGATACAACATAACGACGAGCCTGTACCCGTTTGAGGGGGATAACATCTATAAGCTATTTGAAAACATTGGCAAGGGAGATTACACTATTCCAGAGGAGTGTGGCCCGCTGCTCACAGACCTGTTGAGAGGTATGCAGATTGTTAACAGGGGTGGGCTTTGCGCTAGGCAAAGGTAGGCAGCTGCCTAGAGCCCCAACACGCCAAAGGCCGCATGAAAATACAAATTAGATGTACTGTACGTGTTGGTGTTAAATATCCTATTCCAAATATGTATTCATTTTAAAATAGCTGTTGTTTGCAATTGTGGCAGTTATTTTCAGTAATTTCAATGCAGCCTCATTATGAATCGTGTGATTTTTTAATGTGAAGTCTAATAAAGTTATGTAAGTGTAGCAGAGAAACAAAAATAAGGAATGAAGCAAAAAGTTTGTTGCTAGACTCCCAAAGCTAGCTTATTTTTTCATTCAGAACAGAGTGCTGCACAAGCTCAGCGGATCATACACAATGTCAGTGTATATGTTAGTATAGAGGGCTCCAGTGTTGGGGTAATTACTCCAAAAATCTAGACTAAATATTAAACGCATCTCTCCAAATGTAATAGGGAAAAAGTAATCACATTGCTCTTCTATGTTACGGTGTACCAAGTTATCTTTCAAAGTCAGAAGTCTGGACTTGACTCTCAGTACATAAGATTGTAAACTGAATGTGGATGTAATTCATTGCGTATATTGCTCTGTAATTAAATATGTAGATACATAATTACATTGCTGTAGTGTAGCACAATAAAGATTAAAAACATCCGACTTCTTAGGGCTAAGCTTGCCTTGTGCTTGCACTTCAATAGAGAGTCCAGTTCTATCGGATAAGGGCTGGACTAGTGCATGAATGGATGAAAGCTGCATTTCATTGGTTTGTGCAGAAGATGGTGCTGTGCCATCACATCCTAGTCTGAGTATTTTCTCCCTCTGTGATTTTCAAAGAGCCTCTAAGCATGCATTAGTGGGTCTTGTGCTCATTGAGATTTAACCCTGAGGAGCTGAAATCTAAAGCAGAGAAATGGAATCTATGCAATCTGAATTTTGAGATCTAAACTGAAAGCTTTTTGGAATACATTTAACTTTTTTGGCATTTGGTGGACATTCTTCAGAGTGACTTATAGTTATAATCATGTTTAGGATTTAGGAGTCTTGCCCAAGGACTCCGCTTAGTTTAGCGTGTTGTGTTTGCCCAGACAGGAAATTGAACCCCAGTCTGTCAGATGGAGAGCAGTGGCGTTTCTCTCTACACTGTACGAACTGCAGTTCAGTACCAGCTTAAGGAAATACTTCAACTAAAAATGCTAACATTGCTAATAAGGATTTAAAGCTCTGCTCGCTCTCGTTCATCACCCTGTATTTAAAATGATCAGTTTCATTGCTTCTTCTCTTTTCTCCTTAATTCCCAATAGTGTCATTCATACATTCCTGTCTTTTATTTCCTTCATGTCCTTACTTCTCTTTTTCTTTCTTTCTTTCTTTCTTTCTTTCTTTCTTTCTTTCTCAGTGCATCATTCACCATATTCTCTCGCTCTTGCTCTTTTTTCTTTGATTTATAATTTTTTCCCCTCTTGTTCCTTTTTCTGGTTGCCCCTCTCTTCCTATCTTTCTTTTTTCTTCCATTGTCTCTCCTTTTCTTTCTTTTCTTTACTTTTTGATGCATCATCCACCATATTTTTTCTTTATTTCTATCTATCTTTCTCTCTTCATTTTTTTCTGTCATTCTCACTTTCATTATCTTTTTCTTTCTATCTCTCTCTCTCTCTCTCTCTCTCTCTCTCTCTCTCTCTCACTCTCACTCTCACTCACTCACACACACACACACACACACACACACACACACACACACACACACATCCTACAATAATGCAAGCTTGAGTGTAATATAATAAGTAATGTGTACATGTGGTTACATGTTTGACCTTTAATAATTTGGACAAGCTCTGTCCAATTGTCTTTTTTTTTCCACTCTACTGAGTGTGTCATCATTTATTACTGTTTCAGTACCCCTCTTTCTCTCTTTTCTTTCTCTCTCTCTCTCTCTCTCTCTCTCTCTCTCTCTCTCTCTCTCTCTCTCTCTCTCTCTCTCTCTCACACACACCCACTCTCACTGCACTTGTAGTTAGCTCAGTCATTGACGTTTGAAGCTGGTCAGTGGTGCCCATTTTCTGATCATTCATCTGTCTGTGCACCTGCAGCTCTGACTATTGAGAAAAGCATGTGTTTTGCCAGTACAGCTATTAAAGAATTCTTCTTCTTCTTCTTCTTTTTCTTTATTATTATTATTATTATTATTATTATTCAGAATTCTGTTTTTTTTTTCCAGGAATGCTTGAATATGATCCTGTGAAGAGATTCTCAATACAGCAAATTAGGCAACACAAGTAAGTTGACAAATTGCAAAGCAAAACAAATGTCTGCTGCTCTTAGTTTCTCCCTCATTTCAAAGCATGAAAGTAAAGAGCTAATTGTATCACTCACTTGACATCTTAACGCTGACTACTATGAGCACTTAAACTCTCTCTAAGTGATCTCCTTTAAGTAGAAGGGTGTGTAGTGGCACATAATGGTAGGACGGAAAATACAGTAACAGATTTGATTATGTGTGAGTGGAGCAGACGTGTTGTGACGCCATTCGTATTGTATGCAGGAATGAGAGGTGGAAAATAGACTGACGGAGAAAGAATGGGTTAGGAAACGGTGTGGCAGGGATAGAAGAGAGGAGTGGGAGCATATAATATGGAAAAGAGAAGAAGGAGAAAACGGGTCAAGATTTAACTGAGGTGGGGAGGCACAGAAAAGGAAAGAGGGAAAATGTAGGTGAGGGATTGAACAAAGTAATGAAGTAGGTAGGAGGAGAAGAGAGATTAAACAGAGTGGGAGAAAAGAGAAAAAAGGGAGAGAGTGGGAGAAAAGGGAGAATGGTGAGAGGAGCTCAAAATAAGCATCTCGGTTCAGAGAGCAGGCGAGAGTGAGACGGAGAGAGAGAACTCGACACATTCCCCTAAATGAGGTCTGATGTGGCAGAAGAGCTGCACTTTCTGTGGTTAATAATAACGTGCCGCATTCGGCCTCTGCAGAGCTTTACAGGCAATAGTTCAGCGAAAAATGTGCTCCAAATAGAGTCGATCAGCTAAGATACACATTTTGTGTCTGAAGGTTGCTTCTTTAGTTTTGTACTGGAGCTATGAGGCTAATGTAACCAACAAATACACAGATTAGAATTGTACCCCAAAATTAGCACTGTTCAAAATCATGCCTGAATCATCAGACATTTGCCTCAACCATGTTGTTATTAAATAATTTAAAATTACAGGATTTCTGCTTATGTGGTTTCTGAAACAGATATCTATAACATTGGACAAAACTACGATCTAATACCGCGTTCGACCAAAGCTCCTGACTCGACCTACAACTACTAACAATCACAGAAAACACGTGCTCAACTGGGAATAATTACTCGGAAAGTTGTGATGGTGTTGTCAACTCCGAGCTCAGCGTATGACAGCAAATTAGCACAGTGGCTTACACTGTCAATAATAATAATAATAATAATAATAAAGCACCACTTCTCGACTTTTACCCAGCATTTACTTTAGAATTGTAAACATAAATACAGTAATTGTTTAAATCAATACCATTGACCATAAAGTTTTCTCTTTTGAGAGGGTAAATACATCATGAATGTTAGTGTTTGAATGCTAGCTTGTTGTAAACAATACTCGCTTTTACGGAAGTGTTTCCCACTCTATAGCTGGAACACGTGGAGGTCGAAAATGACCCAGTTCGAAGCTCGGACTTCCCACCTCCAAGCCAAGTTGAATGCAGCATCATCTTAGCTGTCAAGATACGCTCGTGGGGCCAGATGTGATCTAGTAACAAGAATATTTGGGGACAACAATGAGAAATGGTGGACTAAATGTTGATGGGAACAAAATGATTGATTGAAATTTCTAAACCAATCCAAAGCCTCACGAAGGCGGCGCTCAATGTAGGGGGCGATGGTGCACTCGTCATCACTGGCTAAAAACAAGCTTGTTGTCCACCAGACAAAATCCTTATAGGAGCATCTGACCACTTGGCAGCCATCTTGGCAACACCCTTGAGCGGTTAATTCCACTTAGATACACTCTGCGTGAGGGAAAAAAAACTATAAACCTGAAAATGAAAATCACATTTGCCTTTCAGAAACATACTAGAAATGTGGTCAAATCTGCCAGAAATCAAATAAATAATTTGTAGCATTTGTCTCAAAAAATCCGCACATCCCCTCAGTGATGGAGAGCTTTTCCCACTTGCAGCTTTACCATCAAGCTGATTGGCTCTTTTTATTAAATGGCAAGATTTGAGCATTATATACATTCCCATTGATTTTTTTTTTTCTGCCAGGAGTCTCCTCCTCCTTTGTAATGTTTCTGTGTGAGACCATGGTTATAGTGTTAGCTTGGCTGAAAAATCCTGCTAAAAAAAACTCCAGTTAAGTCCATGTCATGTGCACCAGACAAAGGGTTAGACACCCCTGGGTTATTTTTTTTATTTATTTTTTTTGTGAAAATAAGTTTATACATTTTAATATACAAGTTTTAATACTCAAGTAAAAATGCATATTAAAGTCAAGTTTTCAACAGTTAATGAATTGTGTTTCAGAAACCACAGGAAATACACACAAAAATTCAGTAGCACTCAATTTCAATCTGGTTGTTTATTTTTTCCATTTGGGTTTTCTGCAAAACAGATAGATTGTGCCGACCATCTGAGTCTGACTCTGGCGCACCCACTTTTAACGCTCCAGTCAAATCCTGAAGAATAAAATCATGTTCCACCCACATTTACTTTTTGTCTGAATATCCTCTTTTACTCGGATGTACATCACGTTACTGAATAAAAAATGCGTTCCGATTTCTGATTCACATTGTCTTTGAGAGCAGTGGTCACCCACCCTAGTCCTGGAGATCTACTTTCCTGCACAGTTTAGTCCAAACCTGTGTCCAAGAGCCACTCAACCGTCACCTAACGCTACTGCATCTGATCCAGCCAATCAGACAACTGAAGAAATTAATTAACTGGTGTGGTGGGGCAGATTATGATTGGAACTAGACTTATGTTGACTTACTTTTTGTGCTACTTTACATGTGTGCTGCGTATCCGGAGACCACATTACATGTGGTAATAGTAAACATTAAGTCTTGGTAGTGAAAAAGAGTTCCATTATCTGACATTATCATTTCAATAGCTAGCTCATTTCGCTTGTGTTAATGATTGTACTCTGAATTTTGAAAGGGCACAGACTAGAGGAGTTTGGGGGCAGGTTCTAGAGGTGTCGCACATTGTTTGCGGCGGATTTTGCCACAGCCCAGCACCAACAGTTTAACAAGTTGTCCGCAGACATCTATTCTCAGTATGAGGTCACGTTTGGATGGCTAATACAGCTGTTTTCAGGAAGTGATTTTCCAGTAATTTTAGTGCTAAGTAGCAAACTTCGGACACCAAACGTCTTGATTGATCAGGGTAAGGGGAAAAGTTGTGTAAAGAGAGGGAAGGAGTTGAGGAACAGGTAGGATGGACAAAAAAGAAGATTAGAGACTAAAGAGAGGAAAAGAAACAGTAGTTGGGGGAAATTGGGAGGCTAGAAAGTCCTGCTTTTTCACCCCAGAAACAACTGGGACATAAATGAGTAATTTACTACTCGCTGATCTGTAAATAGGGGAGGATGTCCAAAACACTATCATTAAAAACACAGGAAAGTAATTACAACCCTCTTCAGTCCTTTACCATCCTTTTGTAATTTACCACTGTTATAATGTTTTGGACTAATGGATTATACTTTTTGTCAAAAATAAAAGACTAAATTGTCTTTTTTGTACCTATTTTATTTAACCAAAAGTACCCCTTAGAGGTTCTCAACCCAGCAACCAACCAGTACACAAAGCTTTTGTGTTCCAAGTTTCAGCATGTCTGTGACAGGTCAACAAGGTCTAGAGACTGATGATTGCCTTCATCAGGCATGTGGGAAGCTGGAACAGAACAGAATATTTGAACTGGTCTTGAGATCCTCAAAGGTCTTTTGCCTTGTTTCTGCTTGAATAGAACTCATCGAAGACCTTTGATTGACCCCTGCTCTTGTATTTGTGCGCATGTGTAGTTGGGTAAGGAAGAAACACCCGCCCACGGAGCCACCTGTGCCCATCCCGCCCAGCGCAGAGACCCGCGACGTCTGGAGGAGCATGACCGTGGTGCCCTACCTGGAGGATCTCCATGGTTACGGTGAGGAAGAGGAGGAGGACGAGCTGTTTGATGGGGAGGATGACATTATCTATACTCAGGACTTCACAGTGCCAGGTAATCACACTAACATTAACCTATTTAAGAAATTTGCCTATTTGAAAATCTGTGTTACCCAATGTTTCGTGCTTTGTGTATATGTAGTTTGCAGAATTTTTTAAAGTGTAAAACTGTATTAATTATAATTGGTTATAACAATATAGTAAAGTATGCACTTATTTTGAGGCCAACATAAAATTTTAAAACAGGAGGAAAAAGCTTTTTTTGTTTTGTTTTGTCTGTGCTTGTCATATTGAAATTTTATGATTTAGTGGCCCATGGATCACCATGTACATAAATTATTAGTATTATTGTTATTTTCTATTTTTATTCATACTATTGGTTTTATAGATGATATTGATGATAATTTTGGTTAGTTGACCACAAATGAAGCACTTTTTCACTTATAAATTTCTGCATAACAACACACATTCCTGTCGCATATGATATTGATTAGTACAGAAACGCCAAAGATTGATGAATAACAAAACTGTTGGTGACTATATCCCCTAATTTTTGTTTTAAATAAATGAATAAATGCCCTCCTGGTTTATTTTGTGCTAGGAATTTTAGCTGCTAACGGTAGGGCTACAGCATAAAGCACTCAGAAGTACCGGGTCAGTAGAAACAAGCAGTACCTGAATGAGGAGGAGCACAAGATTCATGAAGGTCTTTGAATTGTTCAGTAAACAAATTCCCTTTGCATGACCCTCTATAGGGCAGGTTGGACAGGAGGAGGAGGAAGAGTGCGCTCCGGAGCGTAGCCGTGCTGTGGCAAAGCCGGTTTGTGTGAACGGGACAGAGACAGGAGCGCTGAAGCCCAAATCGGAGCGGCGCTCTAGCTCATCCTCCAACCCCTCCCGGAAGGGAGTGTCCACCGCCAGCAAGATCCGCAAACTCTCCACCTGCAAACAGCAATGACCCTGCCCCTTCTTCTCCACCTCCACACCTGCCTCTTGCTCTGTACAGGTAAGCCCAAAGAGGGAGGAGCTTGTTGAGCCTCGTTTACATGCATGTTTCCCCAGTGTTTGAATGATTTTTTTTTAGCGTGTTGCTTTTTTTTTAAAGCAACAGGAAAGAACGAAAAAACATGACCTTATACTTTGCAGGCTAAACGAACGTGCTTATATGAAATACACAGACAAGTACTTGGCTGACTCATACACTATTGTTCAAGTGTTGGGGACCCACCTTCTTTTATTTTTTTTCTACTCGAAATGACCATTTAAGTACAAGTTTTTCATTTTTAGCACCAAAGGAAAAAAACAGAAACTATTTAACCTATTTATTATTTTTTATTTTTCCTCCCCCCAATTTAGACTCATCTGTCCAAAAACTTATGGAAACTCCTGTTTCTTTTTCCGTTTATTTGCCTTTGACCTTTCCACTTCTGTATGCAAGTTAATTGCCTCAGAACTATCTCCTGAAAACCAATAACATACTTAATGTCCATTTTGACTGGAAATAAAATAAATAAGGTCTCTTCTGCACAGTACTGTATTTTCATGTGTAAATTACATCATACAATCATAATAAAGTTAGCAAAAAAACAAAGGTCATTTCCAGTCCTGGTCGATTCTGATCACATACCCTTGAAGAAATGTGATTATCTGAGGAGCTTATCTAATATGTAGAGAAATTACACTTAACACATTTTTAATGCTAGAGCTCTAGCCAAAGCCCTGATACATGAACATCATTGTACCAAAGTATAAGCTGGCTTCTTTTGTCTGTATTTTGAATGGCTCTCACAGCTGGGACCCTGGCTGCCTGGTCTGTTTCGCTCCACTGGTTAGAGTTTTCTTCACAACACTATCTGGAACTGCTTTCTTCCCTGAGTTCGACACAACACAAAAAGATTCTGATTGGTTCCAGAAACAGATGCAGGCCAAGCTCTAGAGAATGATTAGAAACATGCTTACACAGTAAAGTGTGAGTTTCTCAGGAGCAACGGGACACAAAGACTGTTGTAAGGTAGATGAGGATCAGTTTGAATGTTGTCTTTAAATAATTAAGACGATAGAGACTGTCCGGCCTGTAGTGAGTCAGTGTGAATGACTTTGAGAGCAGTTTGAGGGTGAATGTATGTAGTGATGGATGGATGGTGACTCGTCAGCGCTGGTGTTGTGGAGGTGGTGGTGAGTGTCCTGCTGTAACACTTCCTGCCTGCTGAGCTGATCACACTCATACACTCATTGTGTGTCTCATAAAACCAGCCTTCTGCACTTAGGATGCAAATATAAAGACTTCTGCTGCTGTGTGTGAAAAAACAGAGTAAAATGTTAAAAGGGCAAAAGCAGTGAGATTCATCTAAACGTTAGCTCTATGTTACGAGATTGCAAGCTTGATCCCCGGAGCTGCCACAGCCATCTGTATCTGGGAGTCTAAGTGAGCATAATTGGCCTCACGCTCTCTAGGTGGATGGGCTGTAGAGCTTTAAAGAGAAATTCCACAATTTTTAAAAAAAGAATTCTGCAAAATTAAATGCTTAAGATATAAACAGTCATTCAAAGTGGTTTGATGTGGAAACACTCCATTCTAGAGACCATTGCTGGGTCAGAATTGTTCACAGTGGTGCTGATGGCAACCAGACATCTGAAGTGTTTAAAGCCTTTTAAAGGTTTGTCACAGAGAATTCTTACACAAAATACGCTACCTGATTCCTGAGACGTTGTCCTTGGTCCGGACTTCCAGGTGTGAAAACACCCTAAATTTTTGATGTAGGTATCACAATTCCTGGTTCCTGCCACGTCTGCTACAACTCCTGTTCACCTCTGCTAAGAAATGAAAAAAAGTCACTAAACTCTACAATGCACCTTTTCATACCATACCACCCTGAGTGACTTTGATCAACCGTTGAGGTTTGTTTACATCCCAACCTGAAATTTCGTTTTGATCGTGAATACAGTTAGAGAACTTCCCATCCCATCCATCCCGATCCAAACCAAATTTTGAGTCTGAAACTGAGCTGTGCCTGGGGAAACCCTCTGCTGGAACCCCATCATCAGGTTTTGAGTCTGAAATTGACCGGAGTTCAACAAAATTCTGCCTAAAACTGACCCAAACCAGCCCATCATCACCCAAAATGCCAAATAAAACCTTACAGGATAGCACTAGTTGACTACTGCACAAGAACAATAGCATGAAATAAAAAATAATGTACATTTTATGATATAATAAAACAATCAGAATTGAGTTTAAATTCTGCTTTAATGGATTTATTCATTTATTTTAGTGTAGAAAAAACTTGCCATACTGCACTGCTTTATTTCCCTCATATCTATTTTCTCATGTGCAGAGTCCTTATGGATCTCTGTGCTAAATTTAGTGAGTGAGTGCAGTGTGCCAGATTGTAAACTGTTTTAAGGTAATAAAAGTAGAAAGGAAGAATACATTAAGGGAAGAACACTAAAGCAGGGGAAATGCAGGGAAAAATCTGGGAGGCGTGCTGTGAGAACTTGAACGTGACATTTTAACCCGACCCGAGCCTGACATGTATTCGGAAAAAGACTGTCTTGAGCAGTCTGGTCCCATCGGCTTCGGACAAATATTTCCAGCTCTAGTAGGATGGCTCGCTCTCTCCCCCTGTTACTCAGTGTAATGCTAGCCAATGCAGGTGTCTGTTAGATGTAGCAGAATTAGCAGTTAATGTTCTCCTCTAAGCGTGTTGAGATGTCCAATGACATTGAGTTAGAGACAGTTTGAAAAGATGCTGTGGAGCTTTACGTGTCTCTAAAAGATGATGCCAGTAAATGATAAGAAAGCCAAAAGAGTGAGAACTAGAATGTTTGTAAAAGACAGTTCTGCTAAATAATGAAAAAGGCAGGAGGCTGAGCTAAAGTGTGTGTGTGTGTGTGTCTGTCACACTAAATGAAAAGCAGGACACTACAGTGAGAACTCTAGCTTCTCACACTGATGAGCTTCAGCAGCAGCAGCAGAGTCGTGATGACTCACTCCCTCTCTCCATGTGACCCCCTCCCTCCTCTACTTTCTCTTTTTCCCCTCTTTCTCTCGCTCTGTCGGTCTGCCCCTCTCTTTGTCCTCTTTCTCTCTCTTTTCCCCTCTCTTTCTCCTCCACTCTGTCTGTTCTCTTTTCCTCTTTTTCTTCCCCCTCTCCTTTCTATTCTTTTTCCTTTTATCCCTTTTTCTCGCTTTCTCTTTTCTCACTTCCTCTCTCTCTCATTTTCTCTCACTGTTTTTCTCTTTCTCTATTTATGTCACTCTTTCTCTCTCTCACTAACTCACACTCTCTCTCTCTCTCTCTGTCTCTCTGTCTCTCTCTCTCTCTCTCACACACACTCTCTCCTTTCTCACACTCCCCTTCTCCACCCCTCCACCCCCCACCCCGTCGTCTCCCCCAGGGTTTCTCCCGTAGGCGGGGGTGTTGGGGAGACTGCGTGGGCTGTATGTGTGTGTTTGGAGTGGGGGGGCTCTATTCTGATTCCTCTCACACACACTGCGGAGAGGCAGAGTATTAACGTGTTACGTGGTAGCTGATGATGACTCAGACCCTTCACATAGTGATAAAAGGTGGTGGTGGGAGTGAGAGAGAGGAAAAAAGAGGGAAAAGGCAGGGTTTTATCACTGAGTCCTGCATCGCAAATGGTCCAGCTAAATATAGGATCTAAAAAAACGCTTTCATATTTTTGCACCATACTGGATTGGGCCGGTTTTGTTTCATCTGAGCACTTTTCCAGGCAGCATACAAAAGACGGGCGACTTGAAAAAAGACAAACAAGCAAAGGTTGAGCGCTGCTTTTAACACCATGAATTCAAAGCACAAACTCACAGATAATGACACCTATTTGTTAGGAGATGCATATTTAAATGTGCACAGTTACCACAAGTATGATGTCACATTGCACCTTTTAGTTTGTTTTTTTTTGTTTGTTTTGTTTTTGTTTTTTTTTTTAAGCATGCTGGCAATTGCAACAGACAGTTTCGACATGTTCCCTTGTTTCCTTGTTCTGTATAGTTCTGGATGTTATGCATCTCTTCTAGCGTCCCTGCTAAGCTGCAGTGGAGTAACTTCTGCCAGTGCAGGCAGGGCAGTTGCCCTGGGGAATGGGGTTCTATAGCATCTTTTAGCATCAAATTTGCTTTTTTGGACCCTTTATGTTACACAGTTTTATACCTATGGCCATCACTAAATGGAGCACTGCAGCATTTTTCAACCTAATCTTGATCTGCTGCACCTGTAGCACATAATTAATTACCATGGACAGTAAATCCTCTGCATTTCAACTTCTAAAATAATAATTTAGAAGTCAGAGGTGTTGCATCGGATTTTATGGCAGGTTTTTGGACCATGTCATATGTCCTTGTGTTATCACGCACAGGCTCATAAAGGTCCAGCTTTATGTTTACGTCTCAAATCCAAAGTCAACGTTATACTTATGAAGATATGACGAGTAGGTAACATCCCCTGAAGACACAACCTTCACCAGTTCTCTTTGAATAATCATCAGATTCATCCACTCAGGGAAGGGGTCTGAAGCACAACCACCGTTACAAAGTCTTCTTCCGCACACTGCATGCAGTTGCACATTTCCACCAAAGAGTTCTCCAAATCCCCAAAACATAGTGCAGTTTTAAGGGAAACTGACCATTTGAGTGTTTCTTTACAAAGAGAGCATAATTAGGCCTGTTTAGTTGGATATGGTGCAGTGCAGTATGTGAAATGTAATAGAGATTAGGTTCAAAAACCTGTGGGTAATCCATTTAACTATAAGCCTTTCTGTATTATTATGCTTGGATAGATGCTTTATCATAGAGCCTTTCCTCTTTGTTCATCATTAATGAAAGCTCTCTGCTCTGTTGCAGGTTTGTTATTTTTCCCGTCCTCTGTTTTGGATTCCCAGCCATGAATGCGAACCACAGTTCCTGACGCACACTTTGCCATGGACTATGAACCCTAACGGAAACGATGCCAGGAAGCGTGGATTTTGGGTTTGGTTTTGTGCTGTCTTTCTCTGGAAAGGACTGACTGAGTTGGGAATGCTGTAAGGAGGAAACTCCTGTGTTTTACCTCCCCAGGATCTCTTGTTCTCTCTCGAACTCTCTCACTCATCGTTCTCCTCTCTCTGCCTCTACAGTCACTCGTTCTCCATCTTTTTGCCACAGAGCACCACCCAAAAACATGTGGCCTGGTTTTGTGTCCCACCCCTCGTCGTGCCGGGCAGTTGGTGCCCATCAGATCTGACCTGACCTGTTTAGTTCATTAGATGATCTTTTAATTTTACAGTAATTAATTGCAGTTTAAGATGCACACTGAATTATTTATTAGAATGACAAATAATGATAAAAGATATCAGTTGTTGTTATTATAGAAGCTATGGTGAGAATGCTAATGAAAATTATACCCATATGAAAAAAACTGCATGCTGTGAAGAGCTTTGAGGAAAAGAGGTCTGATCTGATCTGTGCAAGACCAATGTACTGACACCTGCTTAGTGCAGGATGTTGGGTTATTTTTCCCATTAGGTTTCTGTTTTGTTTCTTTTTTTTCCAATAAATATTTTTTAATTATTATTTATATAAAACACATCCCAACTGAACCAAAAATAGTGGTGCTGTCTGTCTCCTGTTTTTGATGCTGTTATGGCTATAGGCAAGACTTTTTGTAGCAGTGCTGAGTTGTTTTATAGTTCTGGGTGTTCTAGCGATCAGGCTGCGCTGCAGTGACGCAACTACCACCAGTTGAGGCAAGGCAGTTGCACTGGGGCTCATAGCGTCTTTAGTGTCTGACAGCTTTATTGGACCCCTTATATTGCAGTTTATCCAAATTTACACCCATGACTCATGGGCAGCTAATAGATAACTTAATGTGTGTCAGCCATTATCCTACATTAGAGCACTTGGTTGGCACCTAACAATACTGAGTAAACAAGCAGATTACATTCTTTTTTTAATTTCTTTTTTTAATTTACAATTTTCATATGAGAGGGCATTAAGATCTTACGCCCTACGATCCTGGTTACGCCACTGCTGTGCTGACTCACCTTCACTTTAATCCGCGGTGACGACTGAGGAGCTACTGCTTCCACGACTCAGGCTCTGCTGCAGTGAACACACACTTATGCTTCCGACCCATCCGCAATCAGAAGGGCAGAGGGCCCATAGGAGCCTCCACAGCGCAGTATGAGTGCTAATGCTGCTCTCTCAAGCCCACACATTACTGTATAAAAGCAGGCTGCATGCCTAAATAATCACACGCTTGCTTTAAACAGTGCTGAGTTCAGTAATCTCAAACAGACTTGTTTATGTGGTTTCTGACACTGACATACTGTTATGTGTAAAAATGGACAGAAGTATTTGACAGCTTATTTAAAAAAGTAGTAGCAGCCATCTTTGAGTGTTTTTCCACTGCACGATCAAAACTAGAACAAACCCAAACAGGAACCAAAAGAGCAGTTCTAGTCCTAATAGGGGTCGGCAACATGCGGCTCTTTTGCTACCCTGTTGCTGCTTCACAGCAGAATTAGTTGTTTAGGTAAAAATAAAATAATCAGCCTTTGCAGTAAAGTAAAGCTCTGCTGATCGTTCTAACACAGTTTGAACAATAAATGGCCTTGAACGCTGGAGTTAATATAGCTTATAACTGCTATTTTACCCTTTAACCCTGAAGGTTGCCGCACAGACTGCTGGTCACACAGCAACACAGATAACAGTCTCGCCTAGCCAGCAGCTAATGAAAAGGCAAAGAGAAAGATTTAAGATGAACATCGATGATTTGGGGACAAATGGACTTTTCTAAGCACCACAGCTAGTTTCCTGATTGACATTTAATCTGCAACGAAAAACTTTCAAACACAGAAAGGTCCTGAAGCTGAGAATAGTTTCTTGTCCTCCAGCTTCTTGTTCGAATTTTCCCGTTCCACCTTAAATGGTGCCGCAGTTACATTCTGGTGCCTCAGGCACCATTTAAGCTGGAAGGGGAAACTTCGAATAAGAAGCTGCAAATGAGAAGCGACTTCAGCCTCGTAAAAAATTGAACGTTGAGAGACATTTTACAAGAAACAATTCTACTTTTTCAGAAGAATGTCCAGCCAGACACTGATGGCCAAAGAGAAAAAGCACAGTTCCTTTTGCCAGTGCTTCGTTTTGCTGTGGAAAAATGCCATTTAGGCTTGGATTTTGTCTGGACGTTTGTCCATTCTTATAGATAACAGTAAGTCAGGCCGTGCCAGAAACCACACCAGCAAGTGTGTTTGAGATTGCTGAACCACCGACCTGCTCTGAGGCAATTGTGTGATTTAGCTGTGCAGTTTGCACAATGATAATTGTGTGAGATATAAGCTTCTACACTCCTGGGCAAAAAAATGGGCCAAGCCCAAAATATAATGGTTTTTATTGATGGTTTTGGCCTGGTCAGAGTCCAGGTTTAAACCCTATAGAGAATATTTGGTCTCACGTTAAACACAAACTAGCTTGACAATGTTTTTCAACTGTTTGAAGCCATCAATGGGTGGAACAATATTGACTCTTCTTTCTCTAGAAGGTTGTTTGTACGTTTACCTACAAGAAATCTAAGGGAAAAATAAATCCCATGCTAAGTTACTTTATCAGTTTGTTTAATGATTTGTTAAGACTATTAAAAACTAAGAATTCACATTTTGCCATTTTGGGCCTTTTTTTTTGCCTGGGATTGTATTACTTACAGCTACATTAGTTTTGTAGCTCCAGTCCAAACCCAAACTAAACTTCAGACATCTAACATGCTTTGGCTGACCCACAGCAGCTGGTGTAAGATGAAAAACTGTGTAAGTTATGATTTTTCATTGAGTTGTTGCTTTTAACTAGTTGGCTAAATAATACACTCTTCAAATACTAAACCTTTAAACAGGCTTGCATTACTTAAACTCGGAAGAGCTGGAGTTCAGCATGGTTTAGTGACACCTAAACCTGGTGCTTCACAGATGAGTTGAACTGGATGTGCTTGATGTACCCCTGTTGTAGAAATTAGAGATTTTCAGCGCCTGAAGGAAAATATAGTGCTTGCATAGCAAAGAAATGCTATTATTAAATATTATATCTGAGCAATGAGCCACAGAATTCAAATATAATAAATTAGGAAGAGAAAGTGAAAAAAGAAAGGATGAAAGGAATTGATGAGGGGAAGGCGGCAAAGAAAAAAGAAAGAAAGGAAGGAAGAGACAAAATAGAAAGACAGAAGAAGAAAATAGCAAGGACAGGAGAAACTGAAGTAAAGAAGACTAATTAAAAGAAAGGAATGAAGGAAGTGCAAAGAAGAAAAAGAAGGGGCAGAAAATAGGAAGGAAAAAAGAAAAAACAAAAAAAGGATAGAAAAAGGAGAAAGGAAAAAAAAGAAAAGGAAGGGCAAAAGAAGTAAAAAGAATGAAAGGAAGGAAGAAAAAAGGATGGAGTAAAGAGAAAAAGACTGAAGGAAGAGAAAGAAAAAGGAAATGAGAAAAAAGGAAAGTAGACAAAGAGGAATTAAATAGAAGGAAGAGAAAGTACAAAAGAAAAAAAGGAAAGAAGGCAGAATTTTTTAAAAACTGAACCATGTAAAGGAGAACAGTTGTCGAGCTGCCTGTGTTCATAAACAGCAGCAGTGGAAATCCTAACCGCAAAAAACAGTCCAGTTTCATACAGTAAATAAGGAGTATTATCTCTCTGATGCTTCTCTTTTTATTTGATCGACAGAAAATGAAACGTCTGAAAGTAAAATGTACATCTTTTGGCCCCTCTCATTCCTGGTAAAAGCTTTCAACCACTCAGTGCTTCTCCTTTAGAAAGTGTCAGCTCTACACATAAAATCCCCAGAATGTTTGTCTTCAGCCATTCAGCCACCAGATCCTTAAAAAGAACCTCTGAACGACTGGAGTACGAATGCATAACCATTTATTCTGAGAAATGAGGGGGGGGGTGGGGAGGGGTCTTGAATGCTATGAACAGCATTGAAACTACAGGGAACTGAATGTTGCACGTTGTCGTTTGTTCTCACATGCAGCAGTGGAGTCAGTTGGCCACAGGCTACAAAACACAAAGACCAGCCACTATTCTACCTCACACATGGGATGTGACCACACATTTGGATCAACATTTGTACATCAGATATTTGTACAGAGATGTCCCACTGGAGAGAAGAGAAAGTGATAAGATGCGTTAATGGCAGAAATGGTAGTCTATTGCTTCAGATATCCAAACATGGCCCCTGGCAGTGTGTTCAGATCAGTTAATTTGTGGGGGGAAAAAAGCGATGTGAGCTTAACACCAAAAAGGATTAAAATAAAAGAGAGTTCCCTTAACCATAAAGCCACATTCCAGTCTGAGGTAGCTTCGGAATTCTTGCTTATCTTAGTTACTGTAGGTGGGCTTACCAGGCCACCACGGTATTATTTTAACCTCAGCACTCTTTGGGTTGTTGCTTTGAAAGAGAAAATGGGAGTAAAGGAAAAGGGGGAAGGAAATGCTGAATGCTCACTCAGCAGAATCAGGGTCATTTGCCCAGTGCCTGACCTCAAGGTTAGGGATGTTTCCAAAGCAGTGGACATGTGCCTTTGACTTTACACCAGCAATACAAGAAGCACTAACAGTACAGTACAGTGCACAAGCCAGAGACCACCTTTCATTTTTGACCTTTCAGTCAAAATGACCAATTAAGTATATATATATATATATATATATATATAACAGTATTTAGTGTGTCCACCCTTTATTACAACCTCCATTCTATTTGGGGGGACTCTCAGTTTTCCAAGAACCTACAAGACATTTTTCCAAAGTTCAGTCTTAGAAGTTGGTTGCATTTTCTGCTTATCACAATTTCTCACAATCAGCAATTCAATTATATTTTCTCAGTAATGGCTTCTTGACAGCTACACATCAGACAGACCCGTAACATTTTTTAAAATCTAAAGCAAGAATGGAGCTTTATTTTCTCACAAAGATAAAAGTTTTAAGTGCTGTTTAGCTGATGCTGACAGTTTAGTGGTCTGTCAGGTCCCGTTAGGAGTCCCATTTTCACCTTAGCATTATATCTTATATCTAATCTCCTTAGAAATATCTTTGGGAAAAAAATGAAGAACTTCATGAATAATTTCATCACACGTAATGGCTCCAAATTAAATAAATGAAGGGTGGTCCCAGATTTTTGCACAGTACAATATAAACAACAGGTTTGTATTCCGTAAAGAACATTACAAATAATTTGGTGAACTAGAGTGAGGGTAAAAAACCTCAGAACTGCAAAGAACGTCCACATAATCTTAATTATCTACACCAAATTTTAGGAGTGTACCAGTGACAAGGGTGCAAAGCTTATGGACAAATATGGCTGTGTGGGCTAGAAAGCTCAATGTGATGTAAAGGGGATAATCTTGCGTGTGAAACTTCTTGTTAATAGCACCAGAATTCTATCACGCCGACTTAACCGGAGTGTCTGAGGTTGCTCTCACGGCTTCAACGAAACCTCAAGAAGCAAAGCACGCTTCTCGGTTGTGTCTCATCACTCTGCTGGTTAAGCCTGCCTCTAATCAATAAGTAATATGAGAATAGTGAACTCCCACGAGAAAGAAAAATGAGACATGAGATGATTATCAATCTCTGACTGACAGTTTTAAGTCTGTCAGGACTCGTTCTCAGTGGATGGACATATTTAAGATGCACTTTACATGCTGAGCCTACTGTATAATAGAACAGCCATGGGCCTTCTTGTAGGATGCAATATATTGTATATTATAATTATATAGTATTATATATAGTAACAGTAGAGTATGTTATAACAGAACGCTCATGAGTCTTCTGGTAGGGAAAAATATATATAATTAGGCTGTATATAAGATCAGCCATGGGCCATCTTTTATTAAACAGAGTAGTAATGTGGTAGGCTCACAGCACATGAGCTGTCCACCCACAACAGCACCACTGCCATACTGGTCAGAAAGAAATGTTTACGCCAGAAAAACAACTGAATCATCACAATGGAAGCTCTGTTGTTATGTAGTTAAGATTAAGTAACAGCAATAACAATAGCCCTGGATAAAATCTGGAATGCTGGGCAAAGGATGAAGGATTGGGCACCTGGGCAACCATTGTGAATGGCAGAATTATCGTTCAGACTTTATTAAGGATGGCAGTGCAAAGTAAGATGCCAAATTCACACCTTTCCAACATGGGTTTTCAATGCTGAGATATGTTCAGTTCAGTGACGTCAATACTGACTGAGGTCTATACAGCATTCCAATTTTTCTGTGAACCTTAAAAATAAAGGTGCCAAAAAAGGTTCTTTGGAGTGATGCCAAATTGCAGAGGTATTGAACTGGGTTCCTTTTGGGCCACAGCACTGCTGACTTTAGTGTTCCAGCTAATTAGCAACACCTTTGTGAGTTGAATTCAGTGTTAAAGTGGGAAAAAGCTAATCTCTGCTGAGCTGTTGCCTGGAAGGAACCCAGTTTGACACCCCCGCCAGAGTAGAGCTTCATATTCATTCATCGTTCATTGTTGTCCAAATATTTGTCATTCTTTAGTCAGGTTCAACTTTCACATTCGGGTTCTTGTAGCCCATCTCCCACTTTTTAGTTTTAGATTTGGGGTTTGACCCTGAATTTCCCCCTGCTTTCATTTTTCTCCTTTTTTATTCTTCACTTCGTACTGTCATTATTTCAAAACCGTTTATAACCTGACATGCTGGAGTCCGTTGACAGAATTTAACACTGAGGTTTGACCAACACTGAGGTCCACTGAGCCCTGCGCCAATGAGAAACATGGGTAATGAACAGTTAATTGATGCAGGAGAGTATAGTTTAGTGCAGCCAAAAGGCCGTTTGTTTGGCCAAAAGCATTTTTATGTAAAGAAGTTGATTTCTATGTAAAGAAATACAGCTTTAGGAATAGACAGGTGAAGGCTAACATATCGCTATCTGTTCACTTCACATTGTGAGAACAGCACAGTAAGGAAAAATCGTTAAAGCGAGAGTTAACTTAATTTTGGACAGCTGATTGTTTTCCTATAGCATATTATTTTGTATTTTTTATTTGATATTTATTTGTGATATAATAAAGCTACTATTGCCTCTACACAGCAAGTGGTGCTGTCCTGTAAGGTTTTTATGGGCACTTAAGGTGATGATGGACCTGTTTGGGACAGTTTCACACAGAATTTCATTGTACTCGGGTCAGTTTCTGACTCAAAACTTGTGGCTCTAGTCAGGTTGTGTTTGGGCAAAATGTTTTCACACTTGGGTTGGGTTAGGACTCAAAACACAATGCTGTGTGACAGCATGGATTTTTCTGCCTGTATTTGGGTTTGGAATATAAGAATGGAATAAAAATTTGTAAATTCTGGATGTTGAATCCAGCTCTGGAATTTGTAATCACTGTTAGCTAATTTAGCTTTTAACACAACTGATTGGTCAACGAGTGTCATACCTACCAATAATTACAAAAATCCAGGAACAGCTTCCAGATTCATGGTGTGGAATTGAACACCTCAGTTCTGGCATCACTCCAAAGAGCCCTTTGTTTTTAAGATTTTTCCTTCGAATATCCGATAATCTCGACACATTTGACTTGACTTAAGTGGCTTTTCTCAAAAATGATTTGGATAAACAGTATCACACCGATAGATCCCTCAGGAAGCCTTTTGCCAGTGTGCTCAGTACTCAGTGATATGCACAACCCACAAGCTTACTCTCTCTTCTGCCCTGTTTACTCTCTTTATAGAACATTTGATAGAAAAACTTCTTCAGCTCTGATAAATGAAATGACATTGATAAATACAGTAATTATTTAAATGAAAAAAAAATAAATAACATTAAAGTACAAAAAGGAAACTGACTATCTGACTTCTTGTTCAGACACTTGAAACATTTCTTTTACCAGCTCCTCCCAAGATTGATATCGGAGTCAACTCGATATCATACAAACAAGGACACTTGAAAAATGAGATGAAGAGTATTAATCAAAGGGAGCATTAAAGTCGACTCCCTTGATCAAAAGTGCAGTTTTCTTTTCCTTCCTCCTCATTTTCAATGTACGCTATTGACATTTAGATGAGGCAGCTCTTCACAAGCGTGACATGCTGTGTTAACATCAACAAAGCGAAAGCGATGGTTGACAAGGGGCTTTAGCAGTGGTCTATTAGCTCAAAAATTAGACTCATAAAACATCGAGCTAAGTGTCAAATGGGGAATTATGTCATGGGTGGATTGCTTCAATCTTAGACATGGATGAGAAAAGAGGATTATGATTTTTCTTTTTTTTTTCAGCACTGTTCCCGGAAACTCACTGATAGAACGGGAGTGTTGAGACCAAATTGGAGTAGAGTTCCCAAAATAGCATAGAGTGGATCTGGAGACTCATTAAATCATAATTAATTTACTGAGAGACTACTTCTTTTGGGAGAAGTATCACTTATACCCCACTTTTTATTTTGAGAGGGAACCAAGGTTCTGTCCTGATTCCTTACCATTCATAGCAATAACTGAAGGCGCAGCATGATTTCTGTGATTATTTCTCACTGCAGAATTACTCGTTGAATTGCCCCGTAGTCATATGTTTCCCAAAGCACCCTACTTTACCTTGTTTCACAGTGCAATTTGCAAGAAGTGATACCATTGACCTCTTCAAGAAAACAATTATTTTGTCACCTTTCCAACGTGGTTGTCTGTAGATACTGTACTTTTTTACTACGTTTTCTGACCTTTCGCCAGTTTGAGGTTGCTGCACACACAATGACCCCTGCATAAGGGACCAGAGCGGCCATCAATACAACACACATGCATTATTTATCTGAGGACGGCTGAGATTATGGTAGAGTCAAATAAGCTTGCCTTTACACGTCAAGCGTACAAGCTTGTGGAATTTATCTCTCCCATACTCTGAGATGTCCTGCTGATGTAGACCATCTATTCCTGTCCCTTCTCGGTCGGAGTGCCGCTGTTGTTCATGCTGTTAGTCCTGGAGGTCTGGGGAGGTGCGGGTCACAGCCACCATGCACTCCTGGCTGGCCTGAGTCCTCCTTAGGCTGGTGTACAGCCGCTCATCCAGGTTGCTCACCAGTTTATCTGACGGGCTGTCCACTACACTGTGCATGTAGCCTTTGTCCATAGGGTCCTGGTCCATGTGATGTACGTTTTTCTGAATGCGGATGACTGTGTCCGTATGTGTATGTTGTTTCCCGTTACTCGTTTTTGATGGACTGGTGTCTGTGACTGCCATCTGTGACCATCTGTGTGTCTCCGCAGGATGCCTAGCACTCCCGCGGTCCTCTAGTATCCCAGAATCTTCCACAGAGCTGTCCTGCGAGGGGCTGGAAAAGAACAAAGTTGGACGACCCTCTGTTGCTGACTTTATTAAAGGACTACTGTTGTTACTGCTGTTGTTGGCATTGTCTTCAGGTGCTGGGCCACCGCCATGGGCCTTGGGTGATTCGGTGGTACTGCCAGTACCTTCGCTGGCCGCTCCCTCGCTGGTCCCTCCTTCGCTAGCCTCCTCATCTGCAGCACTAGCGATACGTGGCAGAGTGCTGTGGTACCGCGTATCCAGTGGGTAGTTGGCACTGTCGCCCCTCCGCAGGGCATAGCTACGCTGTCTCTCCAGGGACGGCGAATAGCGTGCTCCTCCTGGGTCGCTGTACTGCTTGGCACGCTGCCACTGCTTGCGCAAGTGGATCCTTGAGCGGTGCCGATGCCGGAGCGAAGGTGACCCCTGCTGGTCGAACTGAGGATCGTGACGTAGGAATTCGTTAAACAGTGCCTCCGTCTTTTCGTCAATGCTGTAGTCTCGGCGACGGAAACGTGGCCTGGGCTTGGTTTGTGACTGTTCAGGTGTGTCTCTGGGCGAAACACTGGGTCTGCTCTGGGGTTCGGTAACAAGACCATCTGACTCTATACTAACGCTGCTTTCTGAAGCCTCATCTTCCAGCTCCTCTTTGAACAGCCGGGTCTCAAAGCTCTCACACACAGTTCCCTTCCGGCCAGCGTTAGTGAAGAAGCGCCGCCGCTCTGATGCCGTCTTGCCAGATGCACTTCCAAACAGTCGCAGCTCTTCCGGTGCTTTGCATGGAGCCTCGATGGAGGCATAGCCGCTGTCCATCTGCAGAAGCTTCCGGCTCCCTGCCTCGCTGTCGCTACCTCTCTCAGAATCTACACTGTCCCTGCCATTCCTCCTTCCACCCACTTCCCTCCCAATGTCATCATATGGCAGCTCGCTATCCCCGTCAATCTCGTCATCGATATCCTGAGATTGGTAAGTGGGCACACCAGTTCTGGAAGCCCCAGCTCCCCCTAGTGAACAGACACTGTCGGCATCACTGCGTGTGGAGTCTCTGTCATTGCTGCTCAAGTCAGAGGAGGCATATTGTTCTAGAGATGCACGTAGGCTCCAGATATCCCGGTACAGGTTGGGCTGCTCCAGGCTCTCCTGCCTGCTCCCCAAGCCAAACTCGGCATGTCCTTCAGTACTAGTGCCCTCTCCTCCTGTTGCTCCTAATATGAGCTCTCCATCCCCATCCTCTTCTTCCCCATGAAGCCCAACGGATTCTGTGAATTTGTTTGGGGTTTGAGTCCTACTTTCCTCGGCACCTTGACTCACCTCCAAAACAGCTTTAACCTCTAACCTATAGGAGATCAAAGTTAGAGTGAATGATTGCTACAGTGGGAGTTGATTCACAACACAGTCATCTATGATGAGGCATCTATATTAAGGCATTAGTCAGCCGCAGCACCAGTGGCCTTTTAAACTGGACAATGAAAGGGGACGCAATAACTATCGATTGATTTCAGGAATGCATTCTGCTCAGACCTTTCGGTGCATTATTGTTGTGAGTAACTTTTCACTTGATCAATGGAAGATGAATGGAATTGCACCCAAAAATAACTTGCAGGAACCAAACCAATTAATTGCTGAGTTCACACAAGGACAGGAAAAGCATTCCAGTATTCAATCTTCAACATATGGTGGGAATCTGGTGATGTGATTAAGGCTGTATGGTATTTGTCCTTGTGTGAACTCAAAAAACAATTAAAGAAAATAGTTTTTTTTACTGCCATGACTTCTACTGAAGTAAAGGATGCACTGGGGTTCAAGGCACTGAGAACTGTCAGAGTGGATAAAGGATTCGGAGTAGGGCTGTACCTGCTGAGGGGGACTGGTGGTGGAGGCGGACAGCCTGCAGTGGACGGCTCCAAGGAGCCAGCAGACAGTCGCCTAGGGGGGTCAGACTGTGACTGAGAGGGAAGAGCACACAACAGGAAGTCACTGCCCCCACTTGCTCCAGGTTGCTGGGAGTCCTCCTCCCCCTGATCCAGAGTTTCACTCGCTGCTCTCTGCCTCTGAAACGTCCGCCTTCGTGGAGAACCTACAAGACAGAGCAGAAGAGAATGTTAAGAGACAGAAAGTTTATTGACATTGATTGCTTGTTACTTACTTTATTGACACTGTTTCAAGTGAAATGGGCTTTAGAGGGAAAGAAAGACGAACTGAAACAAAGAAACAGGAGTATGTATACAAGGAATCGAAAAAACGCAGAGAGGTCACTGCGTCCGGGCTGCGGGTTGTCCAGTGCTCCCGTGCTGCAGTAATAACAGGATGTAATGGGATCTAGGGCTCATTAGGAGGAAATGAACATGCCACACTCGCTGACCTTTCACGTCAGGTGAAGGATAATGCAATTATTACATCATTAATTTAGCAGGCAGGATCTCTCCATCTTCCCCTCTCTGTCTGCAGCCCCTTCTGAGTCATTCCCAGCTCACAGTCAGCTTTCACTCACTGTTATCGGCAGAGCTACTCTACCGACGCTCTTATTGATCCAGTATTGATTGGTCTCCAAAGGCCTGTTCATTGAGCCCTACACAGTGCTTAAGGCCGGCTTTCCTGTGGATGTCATGTGTCGCTCTAAAGTAATCACTGGTGAGCAGCATTTTCCAAAATAGATCAAAAATGGCTCTTAAGACAAATATACTTAAAGTATGTCACAATCAAATATAACTGTTTCAAAGATGATCCTGAAGTACTGCTTGTTTTAACATGCTTTAAAAAGGCTGTGTTTTACCCAAAAAGCGTTTATTGTGTGCCTAGCAAATTATATTACATCAGGGATAACACTTACTGTGCAGTGCAATAGTACTACAGACACAAATACAAAAAACTGAGAGAACAAAACAAACCACACAGGCTCATCTTGTCAAAGAATGATTTGATTACCATGGAATGTAACCAAAAAATGATAGCATCTGTTTGAGGAATTACATGATACCCATCAAACACAATCAAAAATACTGAAACTTATTATTGGTAATAAAATTAAGAAAAAGCTGCTTTGTGAGAAACTACGCTCCATTGCTTCATATGCCAAGCCTGAAGTACAAAATCATTTTTATCCTGCTTTTACGCAGTCGCCCAAGTAGCTTTTTATCATTTGAGAATTTTTGCTGAAGCTTTTCTATCTCAGAGCAATGCAGAGAAACTTCTCCATGCATTTGTTGCAAGCAGAGTTGATTACTGCAGTGATCTTTCGCCTGGAATTCCTAAGAAAACAATATATCCTCTACAATTTGTACAAAATATAGTAGCACAGATCCTGACAAACGAGAGTCTTAGAAGAACTTTAGCGACTGCCTGTATGTTAGGATACATTTTAGGATACATTTGAAGGTTCTTTAACTAGTTTTTAAAGCTCTAAATGGCTTTAAAGCTTTTGGGTACCTCACTGAATGTCTGTCTGTTTTCAACATGTGATCTTGGATCTGCAAGTACTGGCCTTCTGCAAATATCTTCTGTAAAATACAAAAATCATGGAGAGGCCTCTTTCTGTTATTAAACTTCTAAACTATGGAACTCAACTGCACTTTTTATTAGGCAGTCAACTCACCACCCACTTTTACGAAACATCTGAATCTCTTTCATTTTGCTTTTAATTACATTTCTACCACGTATTTTATATTTTCATTTTATGTTCATCTGTCAAGTTAATGCTCATAATTTTCATTTATTGAACTGTTTTCCTTATATTGCTGTTACAGTAACTATAATAATCAAATAAAATCAAACTTCATAACCTTTCTGTAAAGCACTTTAAGCTGCCACTGGTTAAAAAGTGCTCTATAAATAAACGTCTTATCTCTATTATCTCTATTATTCTTATAAAATTTCTTGCACTTTTTAAAGAATGGTTTGATCTCCATTAAAAATAACCAAAAATGCTTTCTGTTTGAAGAATTATGTCTCTTTACCTCTCATATCCAGACTGGCTGCTCTGTGGCTGCTGTCGAACTTCCATTTTTTGATGGTGAAATAGGGGCTGGCTCCCTCCAGGCTGGCATGGCGTCTGAGCCGGGACAGGAAGTGAAGCATGGTGCCCTGTCCTGAGAGTGAGCCTCCACCTCCTCCTCCAGCTGCTCCACCTACTCCTATTGCTGGCGAGGAACCAGGGTCACCTTCTATCCTCATACCAGCTCCTCCTATCACCTCCATCTGGGAGAAAGAGAGGGAGCAAGATGAGAAATTGCATGAAGATCTCACAACTGAAAGTCCATGAAAAGAAAAACTCCAAGGTACTGGCCGACGGGCCACTTATAACACCCTTAAACAGAAGCCACGGGCCACATTTAGCCCTCAGACCCGACTTTGGACACCAGTGATACAGACCGTTAATTCTTTTTTGAAATCGGAAGAAAGTAGTTTGATTGTAGCATAGCTAGCTAGATAATTTGTTTGTTGACAACATTTGAAAAACCAACAAAAAAATCTATGATGATAATTCCAATATTTGGGGAATATAAACATTATGCCATTAAAACGAGGCCCCATCCGCATGTATCCGGATATTTTGGAAAACGTATGTGTTTTGGCTTCCCATCCACACATAAGACAACTCATATGCAAGGTTACAGTTAGAACACAGTACAGAGTATAAAATCTTGCTTGTTGTATGTTCTAAAAATTCTTTATCTCATATCCACGCCTGGAGTCTCTCTCAGACTGGACTGGAAAGACACAGATGGAAATGACAGTCGAAAATCTGTGCTACTGCTTTATTGTGTTGACAGGTTGACAGGGAGTGGTGACGTGGGCCCTGAGGCAGTGATGGCCTATGGATAGTGTAGTTTGTGTGTGTTCTGAGTTTGGTCTTAAGAGGTTCCTGACTACCCTTTATTTGCGCAGATATTCAGCACCACTTTGTGAACACATCAATATATTCAAGCATAGCAGAGCTGATGATTCAGAGCTGTACCCACAACTGTGGAACACTGTGTTCTACTACTGCAGGACATCATGGTGCTCTCCCCTATCTTACCTGACATGTCGGCAGCGATACGTTCAGAGGCTTTGGTTTTGTCCCCGTTACCTCTTTAAAAACGGCCGCAAGAGCAGTAGCTGTGCCTGCATGTCCACGCTGGTCGCAGTAAAGTGGATCAGCATGTATAACTGGAGGTTTTCACGTGTTGATTTGTTTTCTATCACTGTATAAAAGTAGCACGATGTTGGCTTTTGTTGAATGCACTGTGATAGTTTCTGAGGTCAGAGTTTTAGACCGCTAAGGTCTTATAATTGATTTTTCACAGTAATGGCAAAGTCAACATAAAACTAGGTGAGCAAAGCCACCTGCTGTATAGGTTAACATTAAAACACAAAAACAATCATTAACAGGATTAATAGTGTCATATTTTTTTCTGCTATATATTCAATATAGAGATTCTGTTTAATGCCTGTTACAATGGCAGTTTTTTCTTCTTTCCAGTGTGTCACTGAAATTCTTGCATGTTGCTATATGCAGCTGCAGCCCTGTTCAAATTAAAGTTTATTGATTTTTATAAATTATGGTGCATTTTATATTTTATTTGTTCCAATATGTCAAGCTCAGCATACAAACAGAAATTGTGCACTAAAATTTACAGAAAAATTCCATATTTAGCTTTGTTCCCTGTTTACAAGCCCCCCCCTCTGTCCCACACTGATTTGCACCAGTAGTGAAAAGTAGATAAAAGACAGAAAAGACAGACACTTTTCTACCTTGGCATTAAAGGTTTAAAGACATTTTGCTAAGATACAGCATGTATCACCATATTTAGCTTTCACACTCTCACACTGACCAGCAATGTTCAGATATTCTCTTCTTCAGATGTGTGTGTGTGTGTGTGTGTGTGTGTGTGTAACTCACAGTCCTGGATCGAGGTGGTTCGGAGCTGTGCTCAGCACTGCTGGGAGTGAAGCTGCTGTCCAATATGGAGTTGAATGTGTCTCCAGGGAGGGCACAGCTGGGGCTCTGGCTGCTCCAGGACACTGGTGAATCAGGCAGGCCGCTCTCACTGGGCTACACACACATGAAAGAGAGAGAGAGTATGACTGATCACATGCCTGACTGTTATACATCCATAACAGACTTGTGTATTAGCACTGTGGCTATATGGAGAGGAATTTGTGCCAAATTGAAAAGCAATCACTATGGTGAAAAAACATGAAATGCATTGACATTACTTTTCCATAGTGACATGCAGAGTATGCCAAAATGAAAAACGAAACCTCTATTAGATTGTTTTCACCTTTCACGCTTGACATCTTTACTGAAAAACAATACATGAGGATTTGCATTTTAAAAATGAATTAGTGTCAGAATTGAATACTATCCATTTTAAACTGTAATAAAGGCACAACTATATTTCTTTCCACTGTTCAGCACTTAAATCAATGTTAAATCAATGTAATATAGATCTTTTTCTTTTCATTTTGGCATATTTTCCACATATTACTGGTTAAACGTCATTGCATTGTACTGTTTTGGGTGCATATAATTAAAGCACAAAAAAGAGGTCAAGCGATGTGAAAACAATGTTATAGAGGTTTTGCTTTTCATTTTGGCATGTATTCTGCATGTTACCTGTGGAAAAGTACTGTTGTGTGCATTGTATTTCACTGTTTTCACTGTTATGCTTGCATTTCAATCAGGAAAATCCGTTCAAAGTATTGCATGGTGGAAAGCAATATAGCCGTGCCTTCCTTACACTTTGAAGTCTTCAATTCTGATACAAATTACGCATTTAATTTTTTACATGCAAATCCTCATATGTTGTTTTTCAGTAAGGATGTCAAGCCACACAAAGACAATTTAATAGAGGTTTTGTTTTTCATTTTGGCATATCCTGCATCTTGTTATGGAAAAGTAAGGACATGTGTGCACTGCATTTCACGTTTTTCCACTGTGGTGATTGCAATTTGGCATGAATTCCTCTCCATACGGTTTTCACTAGTCATTCATTCATTCATTATCTAACCTGCTTATCCTCCTGGGTCACAGGGTGTCACTGTTATATTATTTAAAAAAAAAAGCCAAATAATAAAAACAGACTGAACCAAACAATAAAAAACAATGCATATCTTTTCACAGATCCCACAAACTTTCAGTCTTATGCAAAAGTTCCCCTGGTTAAAACTCCCCTGGTTAAATGACATGTTAAAACACATCCTCTACAGAGAGCACACCTAAATATTGCATTTGTCTGCTATGTAGCATAGCATGTAAACTGATTGGGGTGCCCAAACTTGTGCATATGACTATAAGTAAAAAAAAGGCAAAAAAGAAAAATTGAATTAAAAATATAAAAATATAATTGTGTGTGTTCATGAGCCTCTGTTTCTTACTAAAAGAGCAGAATTTAAAATATGTATTATCGTCATACGAACAGCTGATTTACTGAGAAGTCTAGATACTACAGTTACATAGCCACAATAGAACTGGCTTTCTGGCATAACATTAGCTATCTGCCTTCCTTCTGCCTTCATCAGCTGACAAAATTATATAAATAAACAGGTAAAATCAGCCCGCCCCCCAAAAATCCACCACAAAGCAGTTGTAGTTTTTCAAAAGTTCCTCCCACTTTCAAGATGCATCATCAGAACGGGGGTTTCCTAGCTTTTAAACCATAAATCCCCATCCTAGAGATCGCAGCACTGCTGTAAGATGTGAGTAAGCATGTTTACAACAGACGCAGCGATGGCTACATTTCTCATTTTGGCCATAGTGTGCCTTTAAGTAAAAAGTCCAGCTAAATTAATTCTCAATACTCAGTGAACCTTACAGGCTTGGCTGATGGCTAATTAGAATCACATGGACAGAGCTAGTTTAACATTAGCAGGCCTAATTCCACAGCGCAAAACAAACATAAAACATCTGTAACAGAATCAAAGTCTTGAGCCAAATCTGTCTGCTCTAGTCGGTTATGAGGTCTCACACTGGTCACTACTGACCCGGTACAATGTAGTAATCTACCTTTATCAAACATAAAACAGGGCTGCATAATATGGATAAAGTAAGATGTTGTGGTTATATTGTATTATAAAACGAACAATTCCGGTGTTAAAATCTGATTGGCTGAGTCATATTTGAAGGCACTGTAAAATCCATGATATTCGCACACCTATGACCGCCTCACAACAACTGAATTATATATTACTATGCCACTGCAGGAAAAAACACTTTTGCTGTTAATGGAATAATCTTTTTCATTTTTTGTTCAAACTGAAGGGGCTGGCAACTTACGATCTTAACTAGAACTAGGCTGGTCAGCTAGCTAACAGGCTAAAAGATAGCCAACAGTCTAAACTGCTCCATCATTAATATCACAGACTTGAGTTGAAGCACTTATGTATGACTGTATGACTGACTGTAAAACAGCAGTAAAATGTCATGGCTTACACGCTTCAAATGTTCGTGTTTCAGTCAGAAGTAGCATCAAACCCAGGCTGAAGCCCAAACGTCTCTGTACACCCTAAATAGTGTGCTAGCTATGAAGGTTTGAAATTCTTGCCTCTACAGCCAAATAGTGCATCATTTATTGAGTGTGGATGTGGCTGAATCCCAAATGGCTATTTTTTGTAGATATTTTGCACCGTTGGGGTGCAGGATACAGTATTTAAATTTCTACGTAGTGCACTATGTAGGGAACAGGGAGCCATTTGAGATTCAGCCCCAGCATAAGAAGAGGGGCACCACTGGATTGGTGCTAAATAAGACTCATGGTGGTAATTTGGTGGCCAAAAAGAACTTATAAAGTGAACATTTTTGTATAAAACAGTGCTACGTTATCATATGTTGATTGCTATATGACAAAAAGTAAAAAAAAATTCTTGAAATAACTGCAAAATTCAGAGACGAGCGACCGAAAGCTCTCTTCATTCAACAGTCCATGGTTGCTTGGCAACGATACCATACTCTAAAGGAACTACATTTCTTGGTGGAGTACTTGTTCATGTCAATTATTTATTACATAGTGATATGCTATGCAATATATCAAAACACACTGGTGAAGCCTTGATGTGATATGATTAAAAACTGATTTTGAACAACGTGTGTTGGATTATGTGAACACCTTGATTCATCCACACACTAAAGGAAACTCATCAGGAATACGTGAGGTTTTTGGTCAGGACACAAAAAATTTGTTAGATGAGTGTGTTATCACTATAGCAATGGCCAATATCACAATAGTGATGAACAAATGCACTACTGTGTAGCCCTAATTGTCACTGCAATAACTTGTATCTCCAAAATAGTAACTTTACGAGAGAAGGAAAAAAACTTGTAACAAGTAGTTTTGGACCATTTCTATTGGTCCATTTATCATACAATGTTTACAAAATGACAACTGCTTTTTTAAATGGAGTAAAATGTAAAAAAAGAAGACTTACAATGAAATGTCTTATAATAGCTACTGATCACTGTGCATTTCAACACTTCAAGACTACCAGATGGTCCACCACACTAATGCCATGCTATTTTAGGAGTGGTATATTAGCCAGCTTTACTTTGGCCGTACTCTAACATGGCTTTGGAAAAGATGTACTGGTGTTACCTGAAATATAGACAGGGATGGTTTGTGCTGCGTCTGTTCTCTCAGGGTGATGCTGTTCTCAGGTGAGTCACACTCCATAATGGTCAGGATGTTCATAGCTGGAGGGGCGATGTGCAGGTGGGTCAGACGAGCCTTCTTCAGGTGGTGGAAGTCGCCCTCCGTAAGAGTGTACCTGAGAGACAAACAGAGAGAGAATGACTGATCCAGTGGATGACATCTGATTTGACAGTGAGAGACGACTGTCTACTTGAATCATAGTTCCACTATTCATTCTTGTCTAGTTTTGTTAATTTAAGCAGAGGCCATCTGAACTTTACGTGAACTCAGCTCAGCTCTTGTTCTAAACTTGGGTTTTAGCGTAAGATGCCAATTAAAAAATCATCAAAAACTATTTAATCTTTCCGTTCTGCAGTCCCTTATTTGCCATTCTACCCGTGGGATATATTAATATAATCAAATAAAATCTTTCTCAGAGTAAGTCAGATAAACTGGACACTGTTGGCTCTTTTTGTGTGACACGTTGTGACTGTGTTGAGCTGCGATTGAGCAATAAGGGATAAAGGGGAGAGGTGAGAACCCCTTGATGTGAAAACAACTCACACCTCTCCACAAAGACGGTCATGCTGAGATAAAACAGACAGCACAACTGCAGTTTCTAGACAACAAACAGTTGTGTAATACTGCTAATATAATAACAAGCATTTAAACACAATAAATCACTTTTGTAAAAGTTGGCTTGCTTGCTCAATAACGAACAACTCCTAGGTTTATTATTCAGTTACTAAGGTTAAGGCTTATTATCCAATAACTATGAATTATGCAGTAAGTACCATGAAACTAATATGCTTCAGCATCTGCCCATTTGATTAAATTATGAGTGTCAGCACTTAATAATCCGATCATAATCAGATTTTTGCAGTTACTCGATTATTCAAATGGTCATGTGAACACCATTCTCTGATCTAGAAATCCGATTAAGAAATCCAATAAAGAGAGCTGGATTTTAGCTCAGTAATCAGATTTCTCTGTGCATGTAAACTCTTACTCGGATTTCTTTCGGATTTCTCAGTCTGCGCATGTGCGGAACAGACTACCGGAAATAAGCAAGCAGCGTTGCTGCGAAATGGCAGCAAAACACTTTTGGAGCGATGCTGAAACCAACTACATTTTCAATAAAATAAAGGATTTAAATATTCTTCATTATGTTTAGATTTTTTAGGTAAAGTGGCAATGTTTTTCAAAAAAGCTTAAGTATGAAGTTTGAGTTTTACATAACCTTTACGTAACGTCACCTTCTGTGAGTTTATTGGCTGGTTGCAAAGCAGAAATGTGATTACTGCCTGAATCATTTAGACCCAGAGTTTTCCCATTATCTGATTACTCAAGTGCATATAAACGTGTTGATCGGATTACTGACAAAATCTGATCCCTGTACTATTGGATGTGAGTGCATGTAAACGCACTCACTATGTATTATGTTCTTTTACTAAGTACAGGGAATCAACTGTACATGCAGCAGATATTAGATATTAGTCTCTTTTGATATAATTGGAGAAAGCTGGGCAAGTTAGCATAATTACCCTATAAACAGTAACAGATAACCAGAAGCAACCCTTTAAAAGAGGTAAACATGACGAGTAATGAGTCATGGCTTATTCACACATGGCGATGATGTCTTTGGTGTGGAGAATCCTTGACAGTTTCTTATTCACACCATGGCCCATCTCCATTTTAGTGTATTGGAAAACGATCAGCCAAGATTTAACACATATATTTAACACAGACTGTAATCCACAATATTTATGTGACCTGCAATACTGGCAAATACTGACAACAGTCTAGTTCTTGGAGTAGCAGTAAGCTAGTGGCCCTGTGTTGTTACTGTCTCTTTTTCTTTTCAAACCAAATCAAAGCCCTTAAAATCACTGGACTCCTCCATCATGACCTTTCCAACAAGCGTTTTTCACTGGAATTTCCAAATAGGAAGAAAAGCTTTGCTAGACTAGATTTGTGGAAATGGCACAGGTCAGCCATGAGGTTTCTGACAATAAATCCTATTTTTAGAGTGATTACAGTACACTGCCTTTGGGACACTTTCTGGGTCTTTGACTTTTGCTCAGCTTTCAAAAAAAGGCCAAAAATCTAATTTATACAATTATGGCCACTGATTAGTACTGTGCAAACTGCAGGCTTAAATCATTAAACTGTATTAACATGGTAAGCAATCTTAATTTGACTTGCTTATGTGGTTTCTGACACTGTATGACCAAAAACGGACAAAAGTACAGCCAAAATTCAGGTTTCGTGATGACTACTGCTTCTGTCGTTTTTAGTTCTGCAAAGTATTTGTCCAATTTTATAGATAACAGTATGTCATACAGAACATATGTTAAACACAAGGCCTGCAGGTCAGATCAGGATCACAGCGTAATCCTCTCCACCCCATGGAATGATTTCAATTTTATTATTAGCCCATTTCACAATGGGCTGCACTACAATCCCCAGGATGCACTGCAGCGTAATGTGCACTCCTACCCTCCTAACCCCGTTATAATCAATGGGACAGTGATTACAGCAGAGATGTTATAAATGATATATGGACTTTGATTACACCACAATCCTAGCACACCCGTCAAAGTTTCATCTGTAGGTCAACCAACTTTATATTAATGAACTTGCAGCAAAGAAAAGATGTAAGGTGAGTAGTTTGAGGTTTTTTTTTATTAAATATTTCAAGTATTCATGTAATATTTGCACGTGTACTACAAGTGCTTATATTTTGCTGTAGACATTCTGCCATATTTTGAATAAAGAGTGGCCAGTTCAGGTCATAGCAAAATGTTAATTAAAAATGAAATAAAAACATATGTGTTCTCGGACCCGCATATTTATCGAGATTTATTAATATTGCCTTTTAATAGTTTACTTTGACACCCCTGTCATACAGTGTCAGAAACCACATAAGCCAGCCTATTTGAGATTACTTAACAACTCAACACAGTTTGAGGCAAGCACGTGATGATTCAGGTATTCAGTTTGCACAGTGCTAATTGATGGGGTATAAGCATCCGTTACTAGCTACACTGGCCATGTGCAAAGGCGCCAGTGCAAAACTAAAGAACTTCAGACACTAACAGGGCCAGTGAGTCCATACAGGCGAAGGGTAGCACAATACTATGACTAGTTGAGACTGACTTAAGACTTATGAAAGCAAGATAATGTCAAGACCGAAACCCAAAAAAAACAGGCTTTAAGGTCTTTAAATGAAAAACCAAATTTCCCTTCTTCCCTCCTTTGGAGTAAGAGAAAAATAGCATAAATCACATTTTTGGCCAAACCATGGCTTTAACAGAGCTCAGGCAGCCACAACCAGTCAACCCCGTTCATCACATTCTCTCACCTTCGTCCTTTCTCCTGGCTCTTCTTGCTCTGCTCGTAGATGGCTGTCTCATTGAAGGAGACGCGCCGGCCTGTGTACGCAGAGGACTGGAAGCGTTCCGTGTCCACGTCGCCGTGGCAGCTGGAGGTGGACAGTGTGTCTGTGCTCTCCAGCCTGATGGTGATATCTGTCAGAGCAACAGGAATGAGCCTTCAGGAAAGTGGATCAAAGCACCTTTCAGCAGTGGACACAAGGCTTTTGTGGGCTACACACCTTCCTGTGCTGTATGTATGAAGTAATAAGAACAGTGCTCTAGAAACAGTTCTTTAGCTGTGATATATAACAGTTATCATATAGCTATAATAATCATACTCAGGAGTATGTGAAAAGCTTAAAGGTTCTGGACTAGCACTGAGGCTGATGGACTCAAGAGCCAGCTTAAAGTGATCAAATTTACTCAATATTCCTCTTAACCCAAATGTAGTTGATCAGCCAAGACATGTTTGGTGTTTAAAATTAGCTTCTCTAGTTTTGCACTGCAGCTGTGAGGCTAAGTAATCTCAAATGGACTTTCTTATGTGGTTTCTAACACTTTTTATGTTGTTTATAAAAATAGACAAAAATATGGATTTTGGCCTTCTAAGCAGCTCCTACAGCTGCTCTGCAACATATTTCTGTCCATTTGTACAGATTACAGTTTGTCATGCAGTGTCAGAAACCACATAAGCAAGTCTGTTTAAGATTACTTCACACTTCAACATGGTTTGCGGCAAGTGTGTGATGATTTAGGCATGCAGCTGGCATTATGCTAATTGGTGAGGTATGACCTTCCATTACTTGTTAGCTACATTAGCTTCATAGCTCTAGTGCAAAAGTAAAGGAGCAAACTTCAGACACCAATGTGTCTGGGCTGACTGAGTACATTTGGGGTAAGAGATCACTATTACTAAAGCTTTTAAGTCTAGATGTTACCTTGTGTAGGTTGGCTCTCTTCCACATATGTGGTGTTGGTTTTCTCCAGGTCATCGCTGGCCCTAAGTAATTACACCCAACAGTTAAAATGAACCTCTGGGAATTGGAATCCATTTGCAAGTCAAAGACTCAAAAGAAGTGGAGAAACATGCTCTACAGCCACAAGAAGACTGGTTTAATAACAGAATGCTAAACGTGCTGCTGAAGTAGAGCCAGCATGATACCACTTTCCAATACTGATAGCGAAACCTTGAGAATTGGCTCATACCGATTTTCCACGATTTTTTTCCTTTAAAAACTACTAAGCTTTAAAATGAGCCATTTTTAACTGAAGCACTTGACTTTAGATGATCAGGCTCAAACTACTCAAACACTCTACTACCCCACAGGAGGAAATACACATCACATCATGCAGTGGCCCTTAATCAAGTTACATAACAGAAGACTGCCTTTAATGACGTACAAACTACTCTGCTTCTAATTTATGAATGCACTGCTCCCCCACTGACCAAATGGTATAGAGTTAAAATGCCGAATAAAACGTGAAATAAATAAAACGTCTTGGTTTTTTTAAGATGCTAGAATAATGTGATTGTGTGGCGTGATTATTTTCCTGTAATAACATATTTAAACACTGTATTATTGCAGTGTATGAGATGATTCTGCAATAGCTGTGTTTTATATTGTTTATTTTTTGGGTGGTGTCAGTAGTACAAAACAAAAGCACAGTGTAATATGTCTTTAAATGGAAGATGGAATAGTTGCAGCATTTGTTTATGTCAATGTGCATGTAAAATAAGTGCATCCACTTTTGTACTGGATTGCCATGTGCACAAATTATTAGTATGATTGTTATTTTCAATTATTATTATTATTATTATTATTATTGTTGTTATTATAGATGATATTGATCATTGTTTTGGATAGTTTAAGTATTTTTGTCAGGTTGCTAATTCACACACACTCCAGACATGAGTTTAATCATGCTGATACACCAAAGATGAATAGGGTGAATAACAAAACTATTGGTGAAATTTGCATGCGCTTATTTTCCAAACAGATCTGACAAGACTTTGATGAATCGGGCGACTGTGAGTGTGTACTATTTTTCCCTTCAATATCCAATCCAGGATTTTCTGCTCATATCAGCCCCATACTGATTCCAATGATCAGATTCATGCCTCTATATTGCATTAGTGTTTTTAGTTTTAATTTTTTAGTTTAAATTAGTGGTATACTTGTAGCTGATTTTTGGCACATCTTCTTTCACAACCAAAAAAATAGCCTTTTAGTTACATTCATTCCTATTTGGGTCTGTAGCCTCTTTCTGCAAGTCCCCTTGTGGCTGTTTGCTGGTGAAATGGAAGACTCAGATATTTTTTTAATTATACAAGCTAAAAATTCCCCATAACTCTGTTATGAGCTTAACGAGGACACTGTTAACTCTTTGTGTGTGAAGTGTTGTGTGTTGAGCTGCTAGCGAGCAATGAGCGGTGAAAACAATTCACACCTCTCCACAAAGACGGCTGTGCCGAGACAAAACGGACAGCACAACTGTAGCGTTCTTTATAATAAAACATTCTGTACAATCACCACTAAAAAAATTAACCTTTTAAAAGGCCCAAAAGTTTTATAACACACTTCTATAACCTTGAAGTCCCCTGAAGTGCATTGAAGTCCCTGTAGCTACTGAATAATAAGCCTTAGTATGTAAACAGTCTGGGACCTTACAGGGTTAAACATGATAAAAATAGGTTTTTGTAAATTCTAGACTTGCTTGCTCTTCTACAAAGACAAAAACCAAGATTTCAGTTTTGTAAGTCATCTGCATTTCCATCAAAAACATTCCAGCAACATTACTGAAGATGGAATAGTGCAAAAAGTGAGGCACCACCACAAAACAGGTACTCAGGCTACGTTTACACAGCAGGTAAAAGTGGCCCAAATGCTATCTTTTTCTCCGTATGTGACACAGGCGTGTCATCTGTGTGGCAGTGTGAACAGCAAAAAACGCACTGAATCTGACATTTTCAATTCCGATTGCGGCAAAGCGACTCTGTCTGAACAGCCAGATCGGAATTCATGCGACTTTTACGTCAATCCGACTCGACATTCGTCATAATTTGCGCTGCTGAGACTCATAAACATTTAGTCTGATGTTTCTGTACAAAAACATTAGAAGAGACTCATCAAACCGCTCCGTCATCAAACGGCCCGAAGCTGCAGCGTCAGAGAACAGTTTAAAGAATCCGAGGACTCGAACCAAAGAAGTGGCCGAATAACGAGCCCTTTTACGGCGAACTTAAACACACTGTGGGTGATGAGTCCAGCTGTCAAGCACTGGACCTTCATAATCGCTCCTGTGATGCTGGCGAAGGCGAACCTGAAGCTCCGGTAGCGACTGGCGTTGGCTGGCCGTCATGACTGTTTACCCTTGGACGAGCCGCCACGTGAAGCATTGTTCTTTTGCGCATGCGGGTCGGTTTAGGAGCTCATCTGTTCAGACTGATGTCGCATACAGATCACATTTAAAAGATAATGTGAACAGCCAAATAAAAAAATCGGATTTAGTGAGAAAATCAGATTGGGGCCACTTTTACCTGCTGTGTAAACGTAGCCTTAGTGTTCATATTTCATAGTATTTCTGTAGATGTAAATGAACTGCAATGGAGGATGCAGCCTGCACACATATTCTAAATCTCTTTTTTATTATTTCATAGAGAACAATCCACATGATCATAATGACTTTGACATGAGTGTGATAATCCTTCAGCTTAAAATATCTGCCATTTCTGCTCTCTGGGTCAGGGAGGCTGTCCTTGGCTCAGAAAAACCGTGTCACGTTGGGTTCACCCGTATAAGAGCCAAAAATCAGACTGATTTTCCAATGCATGTAGAACAATGAAGGCACACAGGGCCACTAACCTGTGACTCAATTGAGCTAATGACTTCTTTTAGCTAGGCTTTGATTTTTTCCCTTGGTATGCAAGTTAGCTTTATTTTCACCATGTGGGCTGGACGGGTCTTTTCTGAACATCAAAAGAGCTTTACAAGGTTAGCATATTAACACGCCTACTTGGGGACACCTACATGCGTAGGTTCTGCTGCATGGGAAGTTACGGAGGCTATTTGCAGATCTCGCATAATCAGTTTCCGTGTTCTGCGAGATGGAAAAAAAGCTCACTTTGTTACGAAATTAACTGACAAATTTCTCTGCTTAGAGTTTAAGACCATAAAACATGTTTTCTGAGAATTTTTGGCTGAAATGCATAAAAAGGTTTCCAAAATGGCTCTTGGACATACAGTTCTAACAAAAAGGTTTTGATATAGAACCTTAACATTATTGGAAGTTCTTTAAATTTCAAAAAGTGTTCTGTAAAGAACAATGCAATGAATGGCATTGCTCTGAAGAACAACTTATTTTTGAGGACAGTGGCCGTTTAACTTTTGTAGGACCCTCATAAATTACACGCCTATATACGCTTCTTCTTACATTCTGTTTAATTATATCTCACTCGTAACTCATTAAAACAAGAGGAGAAAAACTGTTAAATGTGCAGATTCTAAAGTCAATACTACATTTTTATTTAGAGTTAGAGGAGGAGATAGTTTATTAAGTTGCTTACTGTTCTTTGTTTTATTATTCTACATTTTTTTGTAGCGTTTTCAAAAGTTGAGGTTTTTGAAGCTAAACCACGAATCTTTGCAGGATTGTAGAACCTATACAGAAAAAAATGCGCTTGTGCTTTTGGGACTGATTGCATGTACAGTTTTCTTACAGCATTTGCTCAAATATGATTTTTTCCCCATAGGAAATGAATGGTGGAATGTTGAGAAAATTCCAGTTAACTGCCTGAAATGAAGTCACAAAGGATGTCTCTCACACTGCCCCTCATAGACCCCGTTTACACCCAGTCACTTCATGTGACAAGTATCTGAACTGTATCCTGATAAGATTTTAGCCACATGCATTTACAGCCTCTTCGTCTGCAGTTTGTTTTGCACTGTAGTGTCTGTCCATATTGCTATTAAGCATTTTGTTTCATCTGGTCCCCAACCATGTGCGTCCTCCATGATTATCTTTCTTTTAGACACGGATCATGTCCCCAGTGACGTACTGCATGGGGAGGAGTCTCAGTTGTACTGGGAGGGGTTTTGGTTGACAAATGTGTTTTTGAGAGATGGTTTGTTTACATTCTATAAAATGTGTTTCAAACTTGGCTCAGACCACCTCCTGAAGTGGTTGGCATGAAAATGCGACACCTTAGCAATCACCTGGGATACCACAGAAACAGCTTAGTAACACCTTAGCAACCACCTGGGATATCATAGCAACAAACCTAGCAACAACTTAATAACCGATTATATAGCAGTGGCCCAGCAACATCTTAGCAACCACCTGGGATTTCATAGCAACGGCCCTGTCAAGAAAAATTAAAGCTAGTTCATGAACTTTCCCATTCAACTTGATTTGAATTTCATGTAAAGGTTCTGTTGTGTTCTTTTCATTGTTTGAAACTGCAGCAGTTGGAGGTTCAGATTTGAACCTTTTAGTACAGAATAGGAATCAAATATCGCCTAACGTTAAAAATTATGGAATGTTAATGGAACGTATAGCAATAAAAAGGTCTAGACTTGTTACAGTAAATATCGAGAGCAGGGCACGTGAGGTCACCTGGAATAGCGGCGTCCACTCTGACAGCAGCGATGGCAAAAGATGAGCAGAACGGAGAGCAGGACCAGCGTTCCTCCAGCAAACACACACAGCATCACCAGCAGCAGCACATAGTTCTCCTGCCTTCCCGACGCCACCGGCACATCCTGCACACACACACAGGAAAACACAATCTGCACTGTAAAAATAATATTTTTACTTAAAAAATTCATTGACTTCTTAGTGAATGTGAGTTCACTGATCTTCTAATAATAAGTTAACAGAACAATAATCTGGGTTTTACATTCTGTTAACTTATTATTTTAAGTTCAAAACAGTCCTATAGGAAACAAATGACAATATATGCTCTCCATATATTGTTGCTGATGCTGACATAATAAAACTGAGAACTTATGTAACAAGATTTGATTCCCAGCAATTTTCATCTGAAGCAAGAATGGAGCTTGATTTTCTCTTCTCTCTCAAAGATGATGGGGACAGTTTTGATGGTCTACCAGGTCTTGCATGGTTGTTAGGAGTCCCACTTTCTCCAGTTTTGGAAACTGCTTTTTTCCCAACTTTTCCTGTGTTTTCTCTTTCCTCATGCAAGTGGATTATCTTATCTAATCCCTTCAGAAATATCCTAAAAAATGAATAACCTGTATATAATGGCTATTTTGATTGAAATTAATATAAATGGAAAGTAGGAACACCCTGGTCTAATGACATGTGTTGTTGGTTTTATAAGTGAAAATAGGTTTTTTGTGCACTTTTTGGTGCACAATTTCTATTCATTTTAAAATAAAAAAGCTACACTATGTATGTTTTGGGGATTTGGAGACCTCTCTGGTGGAAATGTGGAACTGCACACAATGTGCAGAAGAACATTTTGTAACTTCAGCTGTGCTTCAGGCCCCTTTCCCAAGTGGATGAATCTGATGATTGCCAGCACATTGAAAGAGAACTCAAAGAGAATTTAGTCAAAAAGAAGGATATGTCATCTGAGGATGTAAGTGAATAATCCACTATTGTTGTTATATCTTCAGTATAATGTTGAATTTGAAATAGAGTATTAAACATCGAGCTGGACCTTCTTTTTGAACCCGTGTGTGTGATGTAATACATAAAGACGTATGATATGGTCTGAAAAACTCCCACGAAATCTGACACAACACCTCTGACTATTAAAAGATTATTTCAGGCTTTACAGGGGGAATCACAGCTGAGCACGGACACCATATTTTAGTGGGTTGTTCTTTCAACTTCTTTCTATTGTAACCCAAAAAAATTCATATATCCAATATGTTCAAACTATGTAAGAAATATATAGATATATATATTTCTTTTTTTGACATGGTGCATCATTTTGGATTTGATTTAATTAATATGATGAGTTTTATGAGTTTTAAAATGTATAATGTATATGTAATGCAGCATTAAGTTGAAATCACAGGATAAAGATGATACAAACACACTGAGGATTAAATGTTCACACAGTTTCCTCTGTTGTCCTCGATCTGGAAGAACAGAAGATCATGCAGTGCCAGTCTATCAGTATGTTTACCCAACTCTTATCCTGTGACTGCACATACCAGGCTGTGTGTGGAAACACATTCCAGGTTCAGACTGTGTATGTGTGTGTGTGTGTGTGAGTTGGGGGGGCGGTGGGGTGTTAAGAGGATGAGAGAAGCTGGGGGGGGAAACACATGCATCTGTGTGGTGTAAAGGTGGCAGCCCACATGTGGACCTGGCAGCAGCAGCAGTGTTAGCGGCAGCATCAGCGCAGATTGAGGCTGGAGGGGGAAGCAGGCATGAGCCCAAGACCACAAAGCTGCAGCCTGCACACACTACAGTCAGACCTGCTGCTTACAGTCAGTCACTGTAAGAAACTAGTGGTGTGAATCTTTTGGCTGACAGAGCATCAGATTCACAATTCATTAGTTATCAATTCAATTCAAAAATTAAAAATGATTCAATTAGATACACTAAACAGCAATTGCTTCAAGAACGTTTACTACCTAGAACTATTATAATTACTTGAAAAAAAGAAATTTTCATTGAAAAATTTTAAGCAGTGATGTTTAATAATGTAGTTGCTTTTGATGACTGATAATGTCAATCCAAACTCTGACCCGGACCTGAATTGCCTGCTGACCCCTCTGGAATTTTGTACTAAGATAGGTCATGGTTTTGTACATTTGAATGTCTTTAGTTTAGTGCCAAACTTAGTAAATCTGGGCAAAGACAACCAAGGCAGCCATCTTGGTTTTTTCTGAGACCTGGCTTAAAACATCAATTTCAGATATGATATTTCAATCTATGGATATAATGTATGTCATACAGATTGAAAAAAAAGGTGGCATAGCAATTTACATAAGTCAAAATTTCACACGGCTGTTATAAAATCATTGTCTATTTCCAAACAATTTGAGTTTTTAGCTATTAACTTAGAATATGGATTGCCCTTTTAATCTTGTTGGTTGCTGCACACCACCCACAGCTGGTAAAGAGGCTCTGTTGCCTCCTAAAGAGCTCATTTTGATGCATGACCTTAATTGGGACTGGATGACTCCAGTTTCAAGTAAATTCAAAACATTCTGTGATTTGGTGAAATTGTCAATGCTCCTACATGGCCAAATTTTAAAAAACGAAGTAAATCTACTTTGATCTTATTTTAACAAATGAGCCTCATGCATTTACAAACGTAGGAATTTTTCCAGATGGCGTCAGCGACCATTGTGCGGTAACAGCTGTCAGGAATTGTAAAGTAACAAAATCAAAACCTTGGATTATTAGAAAGAGAAGTTTTCCAAAATTTGATACCCAGGGGTTTTTGCATGGTCTGAAAAAAAACTACATGAAATTCCTATTTTCAAACTATATTTTTGAAAAACTTACAAAATATGAGGAAGTCTGCAGGGCCTGATGAGCTTGAACCCATATTTTTGAAACTTGCTGCAGTTATTGTTGACCCACTTACTTATATTTTAAATTTGTCACTGGAGGAGAATATTGTACATGAGGTCTAGAAATCTGCTCTCGTTCTCTGTGTGATTTGGACAATTATCGGCCAATTTCTAAGCAGTCAGAACCGGCTAAAATTCTGGAATCTCTGATTAGTGATCAGTTAAAGCAGTTTTTAAAAGTAATAATATTTTTTCAGTCTGGTTTTTGAAAAAAAAATGTATATACTCTTGATAGTAGAAAATCATGCACTGCATTATTCATAGATCTATAAAAAACTTGGCGTGCCCCTGGATTCAATTTTGGGGCCCCTGTTGTTTACAATATACATGAATGACCTCGGCAATAATTTTAAATGCTCATATGCACTTTTATGCAGATGATACCATTATCTATTGTTCCACTCCATCACCAGCACAGGCTCTCTCAAATTTACAGGAAGTATTTGTGACTGTTCAGCACAATCTTTGATGATCAAAACACAAAATATATTATTCTCTAAAAACTTGATACAGAGATCATCTTTGCCACAAATTCACACACTGCTGGGCATATCAATAGAATTAGTTTCATCCTATAAATATTTTGATTTTATGTTAGATAATGACCTAATTAAATTAAAAATGCATGTTGAAAAAGGTAACTTCAACTATTTTTTGTGCCTGTTGAGTAAAGCAACCCTTTCACCTATTTTAGATTATGGTGATATTTTTATAGGCACCTCAAAGAAAACATTGCACAATTTATAATGTGCTAGATATTCAACTCATTGTGAACTTTATAAATATGTGATCTTTATTATAACAATAATACATTCACTTAATTCTAATAAAATAACAACCTATCAAACCTAAGAGACACAAGAAAACACAGCAAAGTCACCCAACTGCATTGAACAGCGCTGTACCTACTGGTCACTGTTAAACGTCCACTTCTAACCACTCCTGAGTTACTGAGGACTGAAAATCACTCTCACAAGCAGAACTGAAATGTTCTACAGTACATTTTCAAGTATCATTTCCTTATTAAAATCACTGTTAAACACTGTACAGAGTGCTCTCTTAAGCAGTCTATTAAACACAATTATAAAATAGATTTCCATTTTGGATGGTTACTTTGAATTCTATTTTCATTCAACTGACCTCAAAATGACAGTGCTCATTTTGGGACTAAATAATTTTAGAGCCAAAATGTAACTGTCCTCCACTTTGACCTCATCACAAAAATCAGCATCTGAAGTATGCAAAACTACATTAAAATAAGCCACAGATACCACCAAAGGTGTGTTTGGAGAAAAAAAGGAGCAGCATTTGATGAAAAGAACACCATGCTGACTGTTAAGCATGGAAGTAGATCTGATGCTTTGGGGTTGTGTAGCAGCCATTGACACAGGAAATACTGCACAGGTAGATGGAAGAATGGATTCTACTGAATATCAGCAAATTCTGGAAGCAAATCTGAGGCTGTCAGTCAAAACACTAAAGCTGAAAAGAGGCTGGCTTCTAGAACAGGATGGTGATCCAAAGCGTACCTCAAAATCCACAATGAACTTTAAAAGCTGAAGCTTTTGGAATGGCCCACACAGTCTACTGACCTGAATATCACTGAAAATTAGCCCAAGAAAATTGCAAAACTAGAAGCATTCTGCAAGGAAAAGTGGGTGAAACCTCCTAAAACAAGAATACAAAGACTCCTAGCATTTGCCAGCTGTGATATCTACCAAAAAGAGTGTTACTAAGCACTGACTTAGTAGAGTGCATATCAGACAAAGATCACTATTCCAGTATTCCGTCAACTCCATAATATTTCAGTTTTCTGAGTGCCAAGTTCAGATGAATGAGAAACAAAACCAAAACAGCACTTTTTACCACTGTGAGAAAAATCTCAGAGAAAAAAAAACAACTACTGACCTAATTCCCTAACGTCTTTACTCTTAACTCTTATATGAACACACAATTAATGAGTTTGAGGTCCAACAAATCCTGACAGCACTAAAAAGTACAATTAAGTTTGCATGAGACGATTGATTAATAAGTTCTGGGTGGTAAGTCTGAGCCTCTGGTCCATAATCAAAACGGCAATGAGATACTTAATTCAATTTTCGGAGCTCATTTGAATGGAAAACGAGGGCAGCGCCTACTAAAATTAGCTGCGAAATAAGGGGCTTTCATTTGGAAGATGCTGTCACCAGCAGTGCCAAGGA